CGTGTATGTGATTTATATCTTGAAGGCCATCATTTAATGAAGAACCTCGCGTGTTGTGAAAACCAATTATCAGTGTGAAAACAGCCAATTTAATGGAATGAGGCGGAATGGCAGTGTGTGAGAGGGAGGCGATGGTGTTTGTGTGCAGTGTGCCTCCACTTCTCTCCCAGCACTTCATGATTCTGATTGTATTGCTGCTTCTACTGCTGCTAATTTGATGTTAAAGCTGCTGCCGATGATCCTGCATTCACCCCCACTGAAGAGGATATGCCGATGATGACAATGCCACTGCTGTTGCTTCATCTACTGCCGATACTGTTGCTCATGATGGCGATGATACTGCTGCTCATGTCGATATTACTGCCAGCTGCTGTGGCTGATACTACCAACTACACTGCTGATATGTATGCTTCTGATTCTGTAGCTGACGACGACACCACTGCCACTGATGGAGCAAAGTGATGCGGCCTTATCAAAGCTACGCTCACATTAATGACTAAGAAAGGATCATTATCTGATGACAACCACAATCATGATGTGACGAAGAACCTTAACGATGAGACGATGGGAGCTGGCCTGTGGTTGGGGCTCGCAAGGGGGACTGCTGCCGACAACGCAACACGAAGCGTGCTGAAAAGAAAGCAAAACATTCACTTAAAGCTTTCGTGACTGCAGGAATTCATAAACTGTTGGGTCTTTTGGTAAAGTCACGTAGATAAGTTAAAAAAAATACGAAACAAACTACGTTTCGATCGCAACACAAGCGGTCGTCATCAGGTGGAGATGACGACCGCTTGTGTTGCGATCGAAACGTCGTAATATTTTGCTTAACCTATCTTCGTGACTTTGCCGAATAGACCCAAAGAATAAGGAAAGCAAAACAATAACAACTCTGTGCGGGTGCCTCGAGCGGGCCGCTGGGTCGGCGTTGTGGCTTCAGCACGCAGGGCAACGTTTTGGCGACAACACGATGGAGCCACCTGCGTTGCTGGCAACAGTGCGCGTTTGCGTTGCCACTTATCCATTTTCCGCGGCACCACCACCACCACCACTCACGGTCAGGGCAATTCGTAACAGCAAACGGCAGCGACGATAGTGGCCGCAAAATGCGTTCATCAGAAACGTTTAGCCGCCCCAAAAATCTGCACAAAGTTCGTCGTTGGCAATGGGAGTGGCCGGTTGCAATCGGATTGCAGACGGCTGTCACGTGAACTATTTGCCCCGGAGGGTTGTGAGCTCTGTAGACCGAATCGTTGTTCGTCAAAGAGTTCTCAACTGTTCACAGGCTGGACAGAAACTGCCGTCAACTCTCCACCACCGCTCGACCCACGTGGCCAAAGTTGCTCGTTGCAAATGTCTTTCTGGCGATGGGTGCTGGTGACGATTGTTGCCCCAGTGCAACGTGGTCACTTACAGCTCTTTGCACCGGTTGGCCAACTCAAATCGCCCGCAATGCCAGGCAAAGCAGCCAACATACATCTTCTTTGGTTCTTTCGGTAGTCACGTAGAATGAGAATAAAATAATAAAATAACACAATAAAATTCTCACGACGTTTCGGCCACAACGCAAGTGGCCGTCTTCAGGTGAAAGGAACACACCTGTCGGGACGACAGGTATGTGGCCGAAACGTCGTGAGAATTTTATTGTGTTATTTTATTATTTTATTCTCATTCTACGTGACTTTACCGAAAGAACCAAAGCAGATGAATCGTTGCAGTCACGAAAGCTTTAAATCGAAATTTAGCCAACATACATGTGCAGTACAATATCACAAAAGCCAAAAGAAAACAGCCTCTACTATATGTGCAAAAAAAAACCATGCATCTTTATACATTAGAAACACAAATATATGTACAAGAAATATTGATATCCGTTTTCTTGGGATAATGTATATATTATGAACCTTTTTTGTAAATTAAACTCGTGGTTTTCGCGTTTACCGATACAGTATGTTTCAAATGTACAAACACCAATTGTGATAAAGCCATATGTCCAAGACAGGGCACGGGTACTCGAATGTGGCATATCGTCAAAATAATATTTACAATAGGTTATAAGACGCTGCTGACGCACTTGACGTAAATTTGCGGCCGCGTTAACGGCGCTGACGCAGCTTCCAAAAAATGTTGTGTCACCCCATCCCAACAACTTGTCGGTGAAAATAATAAAACACCGTTAAGGGGTATTGTACGCACAGATATCAACGTGGCTCAACTGCCGTACGAGGTAGCGTTTCCAACCGGCCCTGCTCTAGACGCTTAGTTGACACAACGAAGGTAGGGTTGTTTAAACACTTTTTTGAAGCTGTGCTGACTGGGTTTTGGAAGGATGCGTGATCGTCTCTTGACGCGACTCCAGTAATCGCACAATTAGCGATCCATTCCAAATCTGCAACACGTAGCGATAGATCTTGGGCGAGGACACTTCCCGGTGTCGGATTGCGGTCGTGACGGCTATTTGACCACACTTTACACGCTTTTAAAGCGCCCTTTGACAAAGGCTCCGAAAGTTTATGCCAAAAACAAACCGTCTCCGCCGGCGGAAGAGAGATGTCTTCTGAAGGTTTTTGCATCTCGGCGTCGAGCGGTGGGCGCAGAGGGAAAAGTCCGCTCCGTGAGTCGCCGCGGACTAAGTACAATCCACCAGCTTGCCGCGAACCGGCATGGCGAAGTTTGGTCTGACAACCGCCACAACTGACGCAGCGTGGGGAGGCCTTCATCCAGCAGCGGCGGCGTGAAACGGGGCTCTGTGACGATTTGACTTATGACGAAGCCTGATGTGAGGCTGTGTGGACATCTGTGCGCACAATTTAAAAGAAAATCGCTTAAAACGAATACTTATTCTTTCTCGTTTACATTTGAACGCTGTCAAATTAAAAAGCGGGCACTCTGCTGAGGTGAAACGAACGGGAGCGAATGTGTTATGAATGTGTTAATTGATGAACGTTACACCCAGGCAGGCAGGCAGGCAGCCCTGCGCCCATTCCTTGAATTGAATCCCAGGTTCAGAAGCACATTACAAAGTTGTTGATTGCAATGTGCAACGGCAGTGGTGCACAACCAAATAGCCATTTGAACAACATCAAAAAACCTCGCACCCATTGAATCATTAGCGCTGCCTCGAGACGGCACTTTGGCCTACTCTTCCATGCTGGCTAGACATCTTGGAAGAGGGTGGAGTGCCCACATTTTTACCCCCAGCACATGCCACCTGCCGATTGGCCAACTGTGGTGCACCCATTCATAAAATTCTGGGTGGGCACAGGAGGTAGGGATGTGGGGCGGGGGGGGGGGGCGCAGGAGGCAGGGATGTGGGGTGGGGGGGCAGCGGATGTTTTATAAATTTGCCCCGTTGTTTAGCCTGCCGAGTTGAATCGGCGATCTCTTCATTGCCAGTGCAGTGTGCTAACCATCACACTACGGCATGGGGCACCGCGAGCGATGTGAACGAGGAATTTAATTAGCGAGTGTCTCGCCACAGGACTGGGCTGTGGAAAAAGAGAGAGGTGAAGGAGGAAAAGATGAGAACACACACTCATGGGGTGCAAACGCTGCCAGTTGCGAACCGCCCATGTCCTCGCTACGCCCCACGATCGGTCTTTACGCGTTTTCCCATCACTTCCCATTCAAGCGTCGTCGGTGGCTTACGATGCGATACACTTGGATGCGCCTGATGATGGGTAAAACCCGCTGAGACAATTCCCCGTGGGAGGCTCAAGCATTTGGAATTTCTAATTTCATGGCCTGGTTTTGCCACACTTGGATTCGGCCTGCAAATGGGATTGTTAGAATCTTGTTTTTTTTTTCCCCCCGTTTGTTTCAGCAACAGTGAACACCCTTTTTAACGCTGATGACGCGAGTCCTTTTAAATCTCCACGAGCTTTGGAAAAACATGTAATGTTACCGCTAATTTAAAATCTCAACCAGGTATCGACGACTCCCTTGCAAGTTGCGGTTTTTACACAGACGCAAAAATAAAATGTTTTCTTTAAATCTTTCTCACAATTTTAAAAGTCCCTACCCTAGCCAGTTTTTTTTCCTCCAAACATCTCTGTTTCCCATAATTTTTTCACTTACCCATAAGCCATTGCAACTTTTGGGGGTGCGACTAAAGGCCCCCCAAAAAACCGCTGTAAACATTAACGATTTAAAAACAAAAGCGAACTCTCGCGTAAATTCGCTCTCTCTCGACCGTGCGTGCAGCGCTCAAGACTCCAAACGTTTAAAAACAGCAACAATAAGAGCAATAATAACATGAATGCGAACGAATACGTCGACTCGATACTGAAAGTAAAAAAAACTGAAGCACTTAGCGGTCATAAAACTTTCCGCGGGTGCCATAAAGCTCAGCAGTGAGACGGGCGACCTCAAACGTGACCGCCAAACTGTTGTATACGCGACGACGTCAAAGCATAAGCCAAAAAAAACCACTCTTTTAAGTTGAATGACCATATTCTCTTGATTATAAGAGGCTCCGGCAAGTATTAGAAGCACCCCAAAACGTATGCCCGGTTGTCAATAAAGTTGTGCAAATCTGGTCGAACACACACCGACCAGTTTACAAGATGCACGCCCAACTTTTGTTTTAAAATAAAGTAGGGAAAAATGAGCGACTTATAAATCGGGAGAATAATACGATGACCCTCCCTGGCGTGTGTGGTTTCCAATCACGTGCTTGCACACGCGAACACACGTACATACGTACGCCTACGTGCAGCGTAGGCCTCGGCAAGGTAAGGTAAAAGGTAAAAACAACGAGCCTACCTTTGTTTTTATCGGTAAAGCCACGTATAAATAAGAAAAATGTAATTTTATTTTTATTTTTTCTTATTCCAACGTGACTTTACTGAAAAAACCAAAGATCAATTCCTGCAGCCACGAAACCACCAAATCTAGTTTGAACGAGCCTACCTTTACCCTACCTTTTACCTTACAATACAATCACTCTACCCTTACCTTTTACCCTTTAGCAAGGAAAAGTAAAAGGTCAAAAGCAACGAGCCTACCTTTACCCTACCTTTAACCTACCCCATACAAATTACCCGATGACAGGGTAATTACTGGGGCACTACACATGAAAAAGGTTTATAACAGGTAAATACTCAGTAGAGCGCTTTATTCACATAGAAGACTCTCGATGATTCCAATTTAAAATGGAGGCCACGGACTGCGCCACGGAGCTTTTAGCGAGCGGTAAACAAGGTATTTACCGGGTAATACTTCTGGCTACCTTTACCCTACCGGCTAATTCTTCTGCGCTATCTTTACCCTACCCTTTACCTTTACCCTTTTACCCGGTAAAAAGGGTAAATTACTTTACCTTGCCGAGGCCTAGTGCGGCGTCAGTTACCCCTTGTGATCGTACCGAATTTATTACCGTCACGGTCTTATCTTCGTTGCCCAAATGTAATTTTGCCAACTCTCATCTGTTAACCACGACCCACCCGCACGGCACGGTGGACTCGCTTTAAGTTATATTCCTGCTTTACATATCTCTGTGTTTGCGTTTCGTGCGTTTTTATCTCCCTCCCTCGGTCCCTGACCCCCCTTGCCGCGACGACTTCAGCAGGCGTCGTCGGCCTCCGAGCCTCTCCGCGTCCGCGCGTGTCCGTTCTCTCGTCTTCCGCCTCCTCCTGCGCCACCTCCTCCGTTGGCCGCCACCGCCGTTGTCGCCGCAGCAGCCGCGGTCTCGGTCGCCGTCGCGTACTTCCCGATGAAGGAGCCGTCCTCGTTGAAGGGCACCTGGGTGTCGGCGTCGCCGTCGCCGGCACCGTGGCGCCCCCCTGAGCGCACGCTGTCGCTGCTCCCGGACGAGCCACCCTGCAGTGGTTTGTTTTCGTTGTCGCTGGAGGGAGTGGAGAAAGTAGGACGGGGCGATATCGCCGGGGAGTGAATCGGTGATGCGTGCCGGTGAGGCGAGCGCGACGCCGACACGGTAAATCGACCCCCCTCCATCATGCACGACCTTGGAAGCTAAGCAGGACGGAGCCTGGTTAGTGATCTCCGATGGGGAGGCTGTCGTGGAAATGCTCGGTGTTGTAGGCTTGCGTGCCCAAGAGAGGGCAGCACAGCAATGGATGTTCCAATCTATGTGGAGCTTTTGAATGTTACCTCCTCGTATGTGTGTTGGTGGGTTTTCTCCGGGTCCCCAGTTGCCTCCCGCATGAAGCCAAATACTAATGAATGGCAATGTCTATCCCAGTGCGTGACCCTCCTGAAAAAACAGGCTTGAGACTCAGGCTTTCCTGGGAAAAGGATTATTATTCTGCCAACAAAAACGAGATGGTTTCCCATGACTAAGCCAAACGTATTACTCTAAGAATGCTGTAGGTGTCTTAATTTGAATCCCTTAGCCTCAGGCATTAATAATTAACTCCATAAATCCTTTATGCGCCTTAATCCGGCTATCCGTGTTATGCTAATTATGTGCATATTTACCTGCTATGACATGTGTCATAAGTATCGACTTTTGACAAATAAAATGGAACAAATGCTGAAATCTGTGCAAGGAAGCATGCAGAATTGCATGCTTGGAATTACACTCAAGAGTCAGAAAGAGAAACGCGGATCGGAGAACATACCCGTGTGAGAGACATCGCATTCTTCAGAACACCAATTGAGCTTGGGGGAGATGCATCGATAGAAGGGACGATGGCCACTGATTGAGACTATCGATGGTGTGGCAGTCCAAGGGGAGGAACGTGCCTGACAGGGCGACCATCGCCGGAGATAAACTAACTCAACAAAACTTTTCATTTTTTTACCAGGTGAGGTCTACCGAGCTATGTAGCCCTTTTTTCAGAAGCGACCTGGCCACAAATGATAGCTCAACGAAGTGGCTTATGTGAACATTTATAGCAGCCAAATACTCTTAAACGCGCGTTGATTATAAATGTCCTGGGAAAAGCCGGAGGGCGCGGAGGAAAATGCACATGACCATGGGGAGAACATGCAAACTCCAGATATATATCTACAGGCGCCAGAGTCGAGATCGAACCCACGACTTCCTCCATACCAGGTGAGGTAGTTAACATCTCGCCACCACAATGAGATCAATCTGTGTGCAGGATCTCGATCGATCGTTGCATCGCGACACCATGAGGGCGGTGGCAACGGCTTGGGGAGGCTTGCATCCAGCAGTGGATTATAATGGCTGCTGACGATGATGATGGTTGAGTATAAACGCGAAGCAATAATGCAAATGAACAGGAATGAGAACGTCCGCAGGACATTGTGAAGTTAGCGCGAGCTCCGAGCGACGTCGCCACGTCCCGCGCACCGTCGACGTCGCGGTGACCGACTCAGCCTCTCAACACCGACGACGATCGTAACGGTGGTGACGAGTTGCACGAACAATCCTATCAAGGGTAACATCCATTATAAGCCGAAGATGTTGCAAAATTAAGTTACAAACCAAATTAAATCGACTGATGTTTTCCAGGACAGGGATCGGTGACCGGACTCGTGACGGTTGAGTGCCCCTCTAACGCTCAGTATTTTTTTAAAGAAAATTATTTAAGATGTAATTTTTTTGTGATTCACATTTTTCTCTTAGCGTCTCAATGAATCCACGTGTAAGGGTGCTTGGAAATAGGAGCGGGGGGGGGGGCGGGGGGGGCGGGGGGGGCGGGGGGGTGGGCGGGGCATGCACCGGGCAGGTGGGCAGACGTATCGCCCCCGCGACGGGGGCCGCCTCGGCACTTACCGTCTCCGTATTCTGCGCGTGTGCGAGCGCGGGGTGTTCAGAGAGACAGGGGGAGAAAATTAAACGGGAGTGAGGTTGGAGAGATTGAGAACCGACTCGGGTCTCTCGACTTCCTCCATCCACCGCTCGGTTCTCAATCACACCCACCCACCCACCTACCCACCCAACCACCCACCTACCCACCCAACTGCCCGCCCACCCAGCTACACCACCAACAACTCGCCACTACCCAAAAACATGCTGCCAAACCACCCGTGAACCTACCCACCACCCAATCACCCACACATCTACCCACCACCCAATCACCCAAGCAACCCACTTTACCATCCAACCAACCACCCAAACAACAAATAGTGGAAACTCACAAAATGCAAGGTGTTGTTTGATTTCTAATTCAAAAGTGATTGAACCAAACAGTGTGGCCTGACCAGGTGATGACCCATGTGAGACGATGACAACGATGACGATGTTTACGATGCCGACAATAATCATCACGATGATGATGACCAGGAATTTAACTTAAGATGTATACGACGACAATGAGATGGGATAAACCTTGGTCAGCAGTTCAATTCAGGAGTCTCAAGGCTTGGTGGCTGCATTCAAATATAGGCCTTATAATGTTTCAACTGGGGGGGGTCTCAAAATTCCAAATACCGCGTCCATGTTCAGGTATTTTTCTTCTTCTTCTAACGAGCAAAATTTTCCTCCAACCGTGCGTCTGGTTGCATGCGGTGCGTTACCTGCACTCGGCAAAGATGTTCTCTCTCATTTGCTGATTCTCTGGGTCTGGGTAGGCGCACTCTCGCTCCTTCACTGGAAATAAAAAAGAAGCGAGGAAGAAAGCTCATGCACATGCGTGAATTCTCTAACGCTTACAGAAATATCGTTTGACAGCCAGAGTATTTCAATAGAGATTGTAATGGTATCGCGTGCGCCGGGCGCGCAAGGAGCAACGGCTTGGCGGCTCGGATAGCGGCCTTGCCGGGGAAAGTGTGCGAGCAAACGCTTTGATCGCTGCCGCCAGTTTTCTCTCTCGGACGAGACCCTGACAGCGACGCAACTTTACACCGAAGCGTCGTTCACATGATATAATCCTTTACAAGAGTCGCAGTGCCCCTGTGTTGCAGACGGACGGACAGCCAGGCAGGCAGACAGAGCCAATGCATCAGTACTTTCAAGCACATTTGAAGAGTGCTAACGAGTCAGTTGCCCGCAGAAGGCGATATCACAGAACTGCTTCGGAGATCCCTTGAACAATGCACAACATGGACTGACGCCGCATAAAGGGATACGCAAACCAATAAAGCGAATCACTCCTGCCTTGCGGGACACACAATGAGGCCGTGCGTTCCAAGCTTGTCCTGCACGAGTGTGAAACTTCACCAATGACCAAAACGACTCTAAAAGTTACGGTAAAGCCACTGGGGAGTGCGAGCGGACGTCGCAGTTGTCAACGTTTCGCTGCAGGTGGTGCCCGGCGCCCCGCGTCTCTCGCCCGCACTGCCAATGTGGTCGCTTTATTCTTATCGAGTCATCGTCCTGGTCGATCGCAACCTGTGGTAGTTTCGTCGAGCCTCACTGTGGATTTCATAGAGTCATTGTTTCAGTCTGGTCCAGAAACATTAATTTTTTTCGTAAAAGCCACTTGGTTGAGCTGTCATTTGTGGCCAGGTCGCTCCTGAAAAAGTGCTAAAAAGCTCAGTGGGGCCTAACCTCGTAAAATAAAAAATAGTTTAGTTTTAGTTCTAGTCGACTACAACAGTGAAACAGTTCACCGCCTCCCCATCAACATACCAGGTCAGCCAATTTATGAACTCAGCAAAAATATTGTCAAACACTACATGTAGCCAATGACCTCGCAGCACTGCCAGTCTCCAATAACATCGCCAAACTATCTCAGCCTGCGTCCTTTTTTCACACTCATTAGTTTCGTCACGTAAAGTCAGTGCAACTGCACCCTCTTGTAAAGTTCCTCGATTATCTCGGGCAGCATTTCAGACCCCGTCCATCCCGTCCCGCCCGTCGTCGGTCGCGCTTTCGTGGCCTCTGCCGGTGAGCAGCAGTCGCCCGTCATCGCCTCGCCTGGGGCCAGTTGCCTCCAGTCACCGTCGTCTTCATCGTCTAAAAGCCGTCGCCGACGAAGCTCACCCGGGTACTTGCCGCCCTTGCTGCGCCGCACGAAGCACACGAAGAGCAGCACCAGCACGAGCAGCGCCACGGCGCACATGATGCCGATGAACCAGCCCTCCGTGGCAATCGTCAGCTGCGCGCTCGCCACCTCTGCTGGTGCCGTCGTCAAGGATGGAGAGGAACGGGCGGGGGGGGGGGGGGGGGGATAGCACGAGAGTGGAGAAAAGTGCAGCGGCAGTGAACGCAACGTTCGTTATAGTCGTCCATGCACCAGGACCTTTGATGTCAATCAAAAGCGGTGACCATGTGTTTTTTTTACTTGGTAACCTCCTGGCAGAGCGCAGTACTGACCGTGGGATTGGTTCGTCTTTTATAATCAGCAGCCATGATCTATCTGCTGTTAAATGAAGCCCAATGACTTTACAAGCCGCCACCATCTCGCAACGATTCACCTAGCCCAGCCAAACCTATTTGGTAAGTTGAAATATATTTAGGCTTTTTCCGCAATTTTACTCCAATTGTAATATCGGCGTTGGTGTCCGATCGGAACTCTTGCAGTTGAGCAGTGCACCATCCCGTGTGTATTGAGAACGGTCCGTGGAAGGAGACTGTGCAGAACTGTTACAGTCTCATCATGTGACCTTTCTTGCCAGTATCAAAAAATAAGAATTGGTTGAATCTTGACTTAAAGCTTTCATGACTGCAGGAATTCATATTGTTGGGTCTTTCAGTAAAGTCACGTAGATATGTTAAAAGAAAATACATTTGTTATTTTCTTATTTTCTTTGAACCTATCTACGTGACTTTACCGAAAGACCCAAGAATATGAATAAGAATTGGTTGCTCACCCCGAGCTCTCAACGTCCTGACAGTGGCATTGTCTTTGTGCTGTTCACCTTTTGGCGTTTTCTGGTCTAACACGCTTTGAGACTAGGCTCTAAAGAAAGCTGTCTCTGGTGTGGACCAATCAGTTTCAAAGACAATGTATCATCATATACTACCAGAGCATGTTTTTGTTTGCATGTTCACCACGAGTATGTGTGGTTTATGCAGACATGATTCCTTGCAAAAGGTTTATGTTCGGTGTTTTAACATCTTAACACAACTGTTTGATTGCCAGAAAGGGTAAAACCAATTCCTATATGTTTCAGTGCCCCTTCATACGACCTTTTAAAAAATAATAAAAACCCGAGCACCCAATTTAATCACGAGTGGCTGAAACCCACAGTTTTGAACCGGGGAAATTTGTGCAACTGCCACCTCATTGGTCTGACACGGCCATTTAGAACACCCCCTGAACCACTCCGTGGCTCCTAATCTCCTACCACCGTCCCACAGCCGGGAATCGAACCCAGGTTGTGGGGTGTTGAGTCATGGCTTGTTCATTTAAACGACAAGTGAAGTGTTTTACTCGGAGGGCTGAGCACACATCGACGTGTTATTGACCGTGCTCACGCGGTTCGCGAATCACGCAGCCTTCCGACCGCGGAGAGGGCAGCGGCGTGCGGTTCGTGTTTCTCCCGGCCGTGCACAAACAGCCCGTGCACACCGAGGTGCAGATTGGTTTTGCGGGCGACCCCGGCGACGCACAGTGGCTTGCACTCCGGCGAAGAGGCAGCGGTGAGGGTGGCCACGAAATCGCAAGTGTTACTCGCTCTCAGGTCGCCACCACCACCGTCACCGCCACCACCGCCACCCATCGTCGCCAACAACCGTCGCCACAGCCACCACCACCATCAAGCGGCGGTGATTTTACTCACCGCCAATTTCGCGTTCCACAGTGAGGCAGACGGTTAAAAGCACGGGTGGCGACGTACGGTGCGAAAGAAGTTTAACATACATACATACAAATAGAAGACCCGGCACCGGAGCAGAAACACACAAAGCGGCGAAGAAATCACCCCAAGGCAAAGCCGAGCCGTGCGCTCACAGAACGTGGCCCCGTGCCTGCCTGCCTGCCGTTTCGGATGTGAACATTAACGTCTCACGTAACCGCTCCAGCGATAACCCCGGCATGTCACGCAGCCCCGTGGGTGGCAGTCCCCGCGGCCACTCTCGTAGACGCTACGCCCCGACCCTCTGCAGCGACTGACACTGTTATATATGTACTCTTTAATACATTAACACAATTGTGTTATATATACAGTGAGGGAAAAAAGTATTTGATCCCCTGCTGATTTTGTACGTTTGCCCACTGACAAAGAAATGATCTGTCTATAATTTTAATGGTAGGTTTATTTGAACAGTGAGAGACAGAATAACAACAAAAAAATCCAGAAAAACGCATGTCAAAAATGTTATAAATTTATTTGCATTTTAATGAGGGAAATAAGTATTTGACCCCCTCTCAATCAGAAAGATTTCTGGCTCCCAGGTGTCTTTTAAACAGATAACGGGCTGAGATTAGGAGCACATTCTTAAAGGGAGTGCTCCTAATCTCAGCTTGTTACCTGTATAAAAGACACCTGTCCACAGAAGCAATCAATCAGATTCCAAACTCTCCATCATGGCCAAGACCAAAGAGCTCTCAAAGGATGTCAGGGACAAGATTGTAGACCTACACAAGGCTGGAATGGGCTACAAGACCATTGCCAAGCAGCTTGGTGAGAAGGTGACAACAGTTGGTGCGATTATTCGCAAATGGAAGAAACACAAACGAACTGTCAATCTCCCTCGGCCTGGGGCTCCATGCATGATCTCACCTCGTGGAGTTGCAATGATCATGAGAACGGTGAGGAATCAGCCCAGAACTACACGGGAGGATATTGTCAATGATCTCAAGGCAGCTGGGACCATAGTCACCAAGAAAACAATTGGTAACACACTACGCCGTGAAGGACTGAAATCCTGCAGCGCCCACAAGGTTCATCTGCTCAAGAAAGCACATATACATGCTCGTCTGAAGTTTTCCAATGAACATCTGAATGATTCAGAGGACAACTGGGTGAAAGTGTTGTGGTCAGATGAGACCAAAATGGAGCTCTTTGGCATCAACTCAACTCGCCGTGTTTGGAGGAGGAGGAATGCTGCCTATGACCCCAAGAACACCATCCCCACCGTCAAACATGGAGGTGGAAACATTATGCTTTGGGGGTGTTTTTATGCTAAGGGGAAAGGACAACTTCATCGCATCAAAGGGACGATGGACGGGGTCATGTACTGTCAAATCTTGGGTGAGAACCTCCTTCCCTCAGCCAGGGCATTGAAAATGGGTCATGGATGGGTATTCCAGCATGATAATGACCCAAAACACACGGCCAAGGCAACAAAGGAGTGGCTCAAGAATAAGCACATTAAGGTCCTGGAGTGGCCTAGCCAGTCTCCAGACCTTAATCCCATAGAAAATCTGTGGAGGGAGCTGAAGGTTCGAGTTGCCAAACGTCAGCCTCGAAACCTTAATGGCTTGGAGAAGATTTGCAAAGAGGAGTGGGACAAAATCTCTCCTGAGATGTGTGCAAACCTGGTGGCCAACTACAAGAAACGTCTGACCTCTGTGATTGCCAACAAGGGGTTTGCCACCAAGTATTAAGTCATGTTTTGCATAGGGGTCAAATACTTATTTCCCTCATTAAAATGCAAATCAATTTATTACATTTTTGACATGTGTTTTTCTGGATTTTTGTTATTGTTATTCTGTCTCTCACTGTTCAAATAAACCCACCATTAAAATTATAGACAGAGCATTTCTTTGTCAGTGGGCAAACGTACAAAATCAGCAGGGGATCAAATACTTTTTTCCCTCACTGTATCTTTTAATGGTGTTTTGTGAGTTGTTTTGTTTACACTTTTTTATTTTCTGCTTTGCTGAACTCATTTACACCCCAGGTCTCCCTTGAGAAAAAGAGAGGCTTCTGTTCTATATGAGCTCTCAAAAAACATAAGGTTAACCAACTGATTCTGTCAACCCTATTCCTTGTTCGTCATGGAGGTTGTCTTAAGTATACTTTGCCATTCTGGATAGTCAAGCGTGGGGAGGTTGTAGCAGGGAATTTAACTTAGCTCACCAGGTTCATAGGGCAGTGTGGAAACTCCACGCTCCTGTTAAAGGACTCTTTATCATCACGATCCACGGGCAGATCGCCCCGTAGGTGTCCACTGCACATTTCGTCAATTGTTTCCACTTTCGTCTCTGTCTTGTGCCACTGTGCTCACGTAGTGACCTTGTCTTTGTGGCACCAATCTCTGATGTCGCTGTCACCGTCAAGCCGTTCTCTGTGAGGTCGTCCTCTCTTTCTGGTTCCTTCCATTTTTCCGATCACACATTTAAATGTTCCTATTGTTGTCCATCCTACATGTGTGTCCAAATAGTGCCAATGTCCTTCTCATTTAAGGTTTTACATGTAGGCTTTCGCGATCAATATCATTCTTAATATAGGATTTTTTGGGTTCGATCGCGTAAATATGAATGCCACCACCCGACACAGCCAACTAGTAAGGTTTGTCACGTAAACAGAACGTGCCAATTCGTTACTCGTACAGCACACCGGTGTGTTGGAGAGAAAGTCAACAACATTTACACTCTGAGTACGACGTTTCGCCAGTAATTACAACCAGCTTCATCAGGCGACAGCCAGATTTCATCACTGCCTGCATAAGGTCTTCTTCTATGTGCAACCTTATCTTGCTTCTTACCTACTCATAGAGGTCATCTGTCAAAAAAACATCTATATAGGACCATTGTCAATACAAAAATATGGCCTTAAACTGATCTCCAGGTCTCCTGCGGAGAAAGAATTTGCCTCCCAAGTGCCCTCCATCGCGCCCCCCTCCCCACACAGCTGTCAGTTGTCTCATTACACAAAGACAAGATTGCCTGAGACTCTGCCCTGCCAGCACCGCGCGACCCAGCGATCGGTCTTTGCAGAGAAAGCGGAGCGTTGGCAAGCGCGGGAGCGATTGCGACGACAGAACGGACAAGGAGGAGGTGCAACAAGAAAATCACGTGGAAGACAACATCCCCAAAGAGCCACGAACGCAAGCGGTCCTCAGCCGACGTGCCAAAAGGCGTCGTCTCACAGCGGCCACATTTACACCATTGACGGACAGCGTGAATTGGATAGAAACGTCGGCCGTTTATCGCCGGCGCTGCGCCCTCAATGGCGCCGCTGACGGTGATCGCGCACGGCAAATGGGTGTTTTAAGAGGCCGAGTAAAATCAATCGGCGGGAATTGATTCCGATTGGGTTCTTTGTCAATTTTATTCCTGCCTGCGTGTGACGGTGGCCGGCAGCAATCGGCGGAGACCAACGGCCGCTTGGCTTGTGACAAATGATCAAAGGGGAAGTAAAAAGAACACATCCACGGTGACGTGCCACGGCGAGATTACGGGTCACCGAAACGGGACAAGGCATCAGACCAGTGTCAACAATTGCTTTCTGCCCGTGAATGGGCCATGTAAATACGACCCGCGTAGGTTTTGCGCCCGCGTGCCGTTTTGCTCCCTGACGCGTGTTTTCCCGTGCCGCGTGCTGTTTCGGTACCGTCCGACGTTTCGCTCGACGTGCTGGGGAGAACTTCCATTAGGGTTCCCCAAGAAGAAGAAGAAGCTCGCGGAACGTGAAAGACGTCGGACGTCATGCCGAACCAATTACGCGGCACAGCCCTGAACGTGCGCACGTGGGAGAGGGGTGTGAAACGTTGCTCCTGCGGACCCAACTGCCCGTTGGGTCGTCTCTACAAGACGTCCTCAGCGTCTGCATGCGTCACTCGGACGGCGCTCGAGATTCCTGGCGGCGCCTCGCAGAATGAACGCGCTGTAGTGTTTGCAAAATTTAGTGTCATCGATGACAATATCTTCTATTGTGCTCCACATTTCAACCAAATCTTGGGGGCAATGGTACGTGCAGAAATATATACAATTAAATGTGTCTGCAGATTTGTCTCCAAGGCGTCAACATTTGTTGACCTCTTTCTGTGCACAGTGAGTGATTCAGTCTCGGCGCAGAGCAGACAAACACAATCACCTCGCCGTGATGCTGTGGTCGGACATCGTCTGAGCGCAGAGATCGATTCGTGGGAATTGTTTGATCGAGTTACAAACTTGCAGAGCGCTGATCTGCGTTGAAACGCCACGGCAAGTGCCAACTGATTTGACAGAAGCATACATCAGTCGAAATGTCCAGGTGAAGGCCCACATCTCTACCCTCAAGATGGGGCATTACACAAAATGATAGAGCCTCCGGGTAATTTTCTGCTGCACAGTATCGTTAGAGATCGAGCTGAGAGGTGTGTGCGTCTGTGCGTGTACACCACTGAAATAGCTGTCGCTTTGGTGTAATGCATTTCTTTCACTTTGTACGCTTAGTTTGAATGATTTCATTAACGTAAATGCTTCGTGAACTCTGAGCGTCTATTTACAGGGTTTGGTTCTTCTATTTAAAGAATAAGCATTGACACTGATTTGATGACTCGCTCACTGAAATATCTCTCCTTTGACCACCACCACCACCACCGCAACCACCGCCGCCACCGCCGCCACCGCCACCGCCGCCACCACCACTACACCACCGCCAACCCGTCTCTCCTTGCACAGTGGGCGGTGGCTGCTCACCTGTGCTCATCGTCTCAACGGGCACCTCGCCACCGTAACTAACGCCGCCGGGCGTCGTATCGACCGAGCAGCGCAGGCGGTACGCGGTGCCGGGCTCGAGGCCCGAGATCACGGCGAACGTCTGCCCGGGCGATACCAGGACTCTAACCCAGCCGCTGTCACCTGGCAAGCGCCAAAGGGTGGCGCCGGCCAACAACAAAAGTGGAACAAACGGACGGGGGGGAAAAAAAAAAGATGTAAACGAAACAACAGACGTTAAAATGCAACGATATATAAATGCGGAAAATAAAAAAAATATATAGCTCTGTCAATCCACTGCTGGATGAAGGCCTCCCCACACCTTGCCTGGCCATGGGGGGTTGGTGTTCACGTGCTTTGCTGCGCTGGGCAGTGCCGGTTGGCGAAGGGGTGAGGCCCGCGACTGGTTTAGATATTTCTCGTGACTGGTGTTAGCCGCGGTCGAGATATCGAACTCGGGACGCCAGGTTAATAGTGCAGTGGGCTACCGCTCCACTTCAAGAGAAATCACAAGATATTCTTGGTTCTTTCGGTAAAGTCACGTAGAAGGGAAACAATAAAATAATAATATTTTTTATATAATAATAATATTTTTAATTATTTTGTTGTTTCCCTTCTACGTGACTTTACCGAAAGAAACAAGAATATGAATCCCTGCAGTCACGAAAGCTTTAAATCAAAATTTAAATCATAACAAAACAATTGTTAATTTTAAGAAGTTAAATAGTAAATTGACATCACACAATGATATGCCATGGTGTGTAAGTCGTAGCCAAATTAAGCTAGCGATTGGTGAAGAGTAAACATTAAATTTTCTGATTTTGAACATTATTGCTTTATTCTTAAACATGTATTTTCGATGTAGTCTTAATATTAGCATCAGCACATCTATATTAAGGATTTCGTCAAAAATGTAATTATGGCCTACATCAATACTGCATGTTGATTAAGGGCTGCATCTATAATTTTATGACCAGTTACATCAATTAGTCTGTGATTACACCTGCAAGTGAATCAATGGTTGCATATATATGAGTCTAGTAATATTACATTTAGATAACAGGTCCAGATTACAGGAATGAATCAGTGAAGTGTTGCGTTACTATGTCTATTGAGGAATTACATCAATATGTATGAGTCTATTTAGAGTTAAAATGTATAGTCTATTGAGGATCACCTTGTGCATTACATCTGTAGTCTATTTCACAATGAAGATTTCATCTCGAAGTATTGAGGATTACACTGAAGAACACATCTGTAGTACGGTGAGGATTACATTGAACTTTACATCTGTGAGTCTATCGACGATTAACAATGAAGATTGACTTCTGCGAGTCTACCGAGCGCTGCGTTGGGGCAGTGATGGTGGGTTCGCGAGGATTCGAGGGGTTTGCTGGGTCTTACTCTCGGCTGGCGCGTACTCAACGTAACGCACGTCGGCCGACCGTCCACTGGGGGCGGCCGCGAGACTCAGGTTTACAAAATTCTCGCCCACGCCGGCCACAACGGGGTCCATCCAGGCCGGGGCTGGCGGGAACGCCGCGGCGACAACCAGGACACACGCGCACACGCACACGCAGTCACGGCGATACGCGTCACGTTACGTTCCCGCCCGGCCCCCGCGAGGAGGGCAACGCGAAGCGGGAGTGTGGTTGATATGTTCGTGGGCCCAGAAGTCTCAAGCGCTCGTCTCCTTCAGGAGGGTCCTGCGAAAGGCTGTTTGGAAAATAGCTTTTTTTTTTTTCAGTAACACAAACAGCTCGAACGCTTTCGTCAATAACGATACAAAATACATAATAGGGGACGTTCCGGGCAATGGCCCTTCATCAGAAAACATTGCCCAAAACGTCGTCAAATGTGACACCTCTTTTCCTTTTCAAGGCCACAATGTCATTGACATGGAACCCATTGACTTTGCGCTCCACTGCCAACGCAGCAGCTTCACCAAATAAATTTAGTTTTTTTTGGCAATTATTGCAACCAGCAAGCAATACGCACGAACACACGCAAGCAGGCAGCGAAAACACGTGCCCGCACAGGCACGGCTGGCACCAGTGCTCTTAGTTACACAGCTTTCAGTGTACGAGTGAGTGAGATGTTACCGTAATATCGTCATCATGTCATTATCGCCGTCACTATTATTGTTTTCTTTGTCTCTACCATCGCCGTCATCACTAGAATCATCACTATCATGACCGTAATCATTATCATCATCATCATCATCTCCGTCATCAATATCTTCACCATCGACACTATCTTCGCCACATCCATCATCACCACCGTCACCTTCAAAATCATCGTCACCATCATCATTACCTCGTGACATCCGTGACTGTCATTACAACGCCCACCACCGCCGTCACTATCATCATCACTGCCATCGCCATCGTCGATGTCATCGGCATCGGCGCCATCACCACGACCTTCACGGCGGTCGCGTTGGGGGGGAGGGGGGGGGGGGTCGCTCACCCACGTCGAGGTCGGTGGACCCCTCCTCGTCGGCGGAGCCGCCCTCGCCGGCGCGTGTCCGCGCGCTCACGCCGAAGCGGTAGCGCGTGTTGCGCCGGAGCCCGTCCAGCGTGTGCGACGTCACGTTGGGCCGCGCCAGCTCCACGCGCGCCGGCGGTCCCAGCTCCGGGCCGCTGCCGTTGACTGCGGGGCGGACGAGGTTAGGGGCGGACGAGGTTAGGGGCGGACGAGGTTAGGGGCGGACGAGGTTAGGGGCGGACGAGGTTAGGGGCGGACGAGGTTAGATGGCGGGAGCAAAAGGGGAAGCGATGCTCCTAAACGAGGCGGAGCGTGCAGCTGAGATGCTAACTTCACGAGTGAAAGAGTAGAGAGGGCGGACGGATCAAGAGAGTTATTTAAAAAAAAAACGAGAGAGCCCGTACAAATCGAAATAAACACATTGCAAACGACAAGCGGTGCAAATGAGACGGTACAAATGAGAGAGACTGAATGAACAATAGACACTATACAAACAATACGGACAAATAACAATTAAGACGCACGCATTACAAGCAAGAAATAAAAATGGGAAAGTGGAAACGAGAAGCACAGCACGTTTAAGATGGAACATATGAATGATTCATTAATTTAATTGAGGTGGTGGTGGTGGGGAGGAGGAGGGGTGGGAGGGAGTGCGGTGACTCTCAGGGATCGTATTAGGACAGACTGCCAAAGGTCAGACCGAGAAAGGCAGAGGTCAGGCTGTCTCACCCACGACCCCCCCCCCCCCCCACCGAGGCTGTGGTGGATATTGCTGTGGAGAAATGCTCATAAAATACCATGCACCCTGTGCGATTGTACTCAAATGAAATAATAATAACTTAGGACACCTGACATCGTTGCCATTCTTATAGTGCAAGGCAATCGCGAAGACGTTCTCTTCCATAGACGGTTACAGACTGCCAGTAGGGGGTGATGTTGCTGCGTGGTTTTTATACAATCTGCGAATAATTAGGTAACCTGCGAATCATTTGTTAAAATGTGGAACGTTTGGGCCTTGATGCCTGCACACAACGGCCAACGATTTAGAATAAACGTAATGGGTTATTTAACGTCCACTGTGATGCAAACGGAGCGTATTAATTTTAGCTAATAATGCACCCGTGGGTATTTACCGGGGCGGCCATGGGTTTTGAACTGAGAAGCGGCGAACTCGCTACCAATATTTGTGTCTGTGTCAAACCACTGACCTATAAATAATCAATATATCTGTAATACTACAGATGATTACACAAGTAATGTGACTATGATTTTCATCGATTGGACCATGAGATTGCTCAATTAGTCAAACTGCCCTATGCTTAACAGGGGGAATTGCGGGGGGGAGGGGGTGCTTTGTCTTTATGTTTACAGCGAGAGAGTTTATTGAGCCCAGTGTGATACAATGCAACACAACGTGTTCATTCACCAACAAAGAGTGCGTGTGGAGGAGTGAGACCCTATGGATTTTTTTCCCCCGGCAGGACCCAAAGGCAGGCTGTGACATCGGAATAATTAATGTTTGTTCTCGGCGAAAATCCATTAATCATATGCGCTAATTATAACCCCTTAAGGCTTCCTGGCAAAGACAAAAAAAACCCAAAGCCCACTCCCCTCTGAATAATAAATGAACACTGAGGAAGGATTATTTCTGGTTAATTGTGTTATAAAATGTAATGCAGGTCTGCCTTTAAATAGCGACCTTCAGCCTCAACGGGTTTTTCCGCCTGGTTTAACTCACTGTCTTTCCACCGCTCGGTGCTCGAAAAATCTATTTTGACACTGCCAATATAAGCAAAGAAATAATAACGAAACAAGTGTTAATTCTTCCTGTTGAAACTTAGCCGAATTTAAGTGAATTAATCAAATGTCACACTGCTCCGGTAAGACAGCGGGGCACAGCCCGTCACACACTCACCGCTCTGGTAGTGCAGCACGTAGCCGGTGATGACACCGTGCGGCTGGAGAGGGGGGGCCCACACGAGCGTGGCCGAGTTGAACGTGATGCTCTGGATGCGCAGGAACTCGGGCTTGGATGGAACTGGTAGGGAAGAGGGGGGGGGGGGGGTCAGTAGGAATTGAAGGGGTGGGGGCAAGCAGCTGCAGCCGATGTGAGCAGGGAACAACTCTCACCCAGATCGCAAACGACGAAATTGGGAATTTAAAAAAGAGCAATCATCGCGCCCCCTACTGGCAAACGAATTCCAGTTTACAGGTCGGGTGCTGAGTCGCCTTGCGGCCACAGGGGCAGCTGCCGCTGAGGGGTTCCCTTTCAAATGTGCGAGATGAGACGCGATATGAAGCGCGCCGAGATGCCCCCGGTGTAAATATTATTTTCCACATTTCTGGATTTTGGGATTTCTGGGGTGCGAGGCCACGCTGCGTCGTACTCACCGCCCTCGGGCGTCTGGAAGGAGCGTGCGGGGCTGGGCGGCCCGTCGCTGCGCCCGTTTGACACGCGTACGTCCAGCTCGTAGGAGCAGAATGGCTCGAGTCCCGGTACGACGCCGTGCCGCCGGTCGGGCGCGAACACCAGGAAGCGGCGGTCAGAACGCCGCCGGCGTCGCCGGCGCCGCTGCTGCTCCTGAGCGGGGCGCGAGCACGTGTGCGGAATGGAGACGCTGCGTCATTATTTTTATCGTCGCCAACATCGTCATCATGTACGTATGTATATGTTGCAAGGCCGTAATTATAATATATATTGGGGGGGACACATCTCCCCCAATATTCAAATATGCTCAAAATGTCCCCCCCCAATATATTGCTATAAAATAGATTTCTGTTAATATGATTGTGGTTATGGTTGTACTTTATTCATCACTAATCTCTGCCATTACATACAATGAAACAAAAAAGGTAAAAAAAAACAGAGCAATGTAATACAATACACTCTTAGACATTATTGTAAAAAAAAAGTCCATCCTATGTGTTAGTGAATTTTTTAATATTTTAGGCAGGAAATGGCAGGAAAATCGTTTTCAAATTTAGATTTTTTTTCTGGGGGGGGGACCCCCAGACCCCGTGGAAGATTTGGTCCCCCCCCAATGTTGACTCCATGGCTACGGCCATGATATGGTGAACTTATTTCGCACCGTACATAGGCGACCTTGCTAACTGGAGGTGCGGGGGGAAGAACAACAAACTAAACATGATCACCGTGTAATCGCTGAACGTATCATTCGTACATTTCGGGTCATAGACACAGGTATCTCATGGACGCATTGGCTAAGTTCGTTTGTGAGTTTCGTTCTTCGATCTTACCGGTGAAGTGAAAAATTACTCGTCGGCGCGTTGTTAAATGCTTGTGCACCACGTGGCAATTAATTTGGTTGGCTGGATTGGCTGGTGGAGGGTTTTATCGTGACACAGATTTGGTGAGATCGTTAGGTGGCCTCACCCAACAATTAATTATAAATCATCATAATCATCACGGCCACTATAATCAAAGTTTTATCATCATCAACATATCCATCAGTGTCGCTCTAAAAATCACCATCACTGTAACGATCATCGTTGTCGTTCTTGTCAGTAAATGTATAGGTAGTCTCCGCTTTTACAACACAATGCGTTCCTGGAAAACCCGTCGTAAATCATAGACCGAAACAGTAGAAACATCGCTTGCCGATGTGCTTTTTCCTTTTAACAGGCATATTTAACAGAGTTTAAAAGGTAACAATCCACGAAAAACACTTGAGAATAACAAAAGCCTCAAGTGAAGTCACATCGGAAACCAGACTCTGTTCAAATGTGTTCGGAGTCGTGTCTGAAGATGCATCGTAAATTAAGTTTCTGCGTCGTAAATGGCTTCATGGTGGCGCATAAACGTCGTGAATGTGACTCGTAGTAAATCAGACCGTCGTAAACCAGAGACCACCTATATCATTGCTATAATCATAGCCATCATCAGCGTCACCAGGACCATCTTAACACACGTTCATGATCTCCATCACGATCGCTATCGTTCACATCGCACCACCACAGCCTCCGTGCTAGGGGGGTCTCACTCGGCCCCCTCTCCTTCCCTGAGAGCTTCAGTCTCACCTGAGTGGGGTGGCCTAGGAGCTCTCGCACCTTCCAGTAGAACACCTTGGGGAGGTGAGGGGTCAGAGAGCAGGTCACACGCTCGGGTCAATCCAATCATTAATGGGCACGAAGTTGAGCAGCGGGGTGCACGTTGATATCCGTTGTCTCCTGTGTTTGCCCAAGGGACTTGGGTAAATATCAGGGCAATTACAGTATTATAAAAAAACTAATAATTTATATCTTTCCCCATATTCATTCCAATTGTGCTTATCAGCGTCCTGTCATGGGATGAGGAGTCCATTTGGACATCTAAAAGAGATTTTAGTTTTAGGGCTTCTGTTGATTTTCTCCAAGCGGCGTCCTTACACTGCAGTGGTTGCACTTTCCCGAACGCTGCCTCGCGACTGTTTGTCGCACGGCAGACAAACTGATATTTTAAGTTCTCAAATTAATTGAAAGCATGGAGAGGTGAATACCTGAAATCACGCTTAAAGAAACAAAAAGAGGAACACATGATTCAGAGAACAAAATGCCGGGTAGAGACGTCATATTGATGGTGGATTGGTCGAGATGTTTACTACTTCGCCTGGTATACAGGAGGTTGTGGGTTTGATTCCAACCCTGATGCCTGTATATTTAGAGTTTTGCATGTTCTCCCCGTGGTCGCAGAGATGATTTTATCTGGGTCCTCCGGTTTTTACCTCCACATTTAGAAACATGCGATACATTTCCACGTGACAAGCCACTTTATTGAGCTATCATTTGTGGCCAGGTCGCTTCTGTAAAAGAGCTACATAGCTCAGTGGGTTTTTACCTGGTAAAGTATAAATAGTTTGATTTAGAGTCTAATGATGGAGTGGCAGCCGAAGTAGGGAACGTGCCCGGGATGGACGTCCGCGGCAGAGATGGAGCAATAGACCTAAATTGCACTGTATTATTATATTGTGAAAGGGGGGCTGAATGGAGAAGGCGGTGCATGCGAATGAGTAGGGGTGGTGGCTGAATGAACAAGGCCTGCATGTAGCAGAAAACAAAACAAGCCGTGCGAGTGAGAGCCTGTGGTTGAACGAAGACGGCTGTACGTGTGAGGCTGTGACTGCAAGGAGGAGGCCGCACGTTGGAGCTCTCACCTTGTAGCCCTTAAGGTGGCCGCGCACGGAGGCCTCTGTTACCGGCTCCCAAGACACGCGGACAAATGTGCTGTTCAGGACCTCGACGTCCACTCTGCCCGGTGCCTCCAAGGGAGCTGCGGTAAGTCGTGCACGGAGGGAAAAAGAAAACAAATGCCGGCAGCTGAGATTCGTCATCTGCTTTGGATGCGATCGATCGCTTAATAGAACGCCGAACGTCACCATCACGACGATTCTCGCATGGGGGGAACGGACGAGCAGAATTTTTTTTAAATATTTTTTTTAGTTTTATACATCAATATATAAAAAGCTTTTCTCCCAAACATGCTGGTCAGCGCCGACTGGTGAAGTGGTGGGGGGGATTGGGGGTGGGGTGGATAATCAAATTCAGCTCGCCGTGTTCACAGCGCGGTGCACCAACCGGCACTGCGCTACCGCTCCACGGCAAATCCCGAACTACACTTTGCCACGAGCTAACGGGGAGGGTGGGTGGGGGGGGGGGCATGAATTAGAACCCAATGCAGCCACCCACCCACGCCCCTGGTAACGCGAACTGCCAATTTAACAAACGCATTTGGCGATCAGGCCGAGCGTCGCGCATCACCCGCGTGTGAAAACCGAGACCGCCGATTCCCAAGAGGGATCTTCGCGGGGGGGGGAAAAGCATCCCCCCCCGCGTTGCTGCCGTCTCATTATCGCCTTGCCTGGCAGCGGCAGCCGCGCGGCGGCGCGCCCGCGGATTGCGGCTACAAGTCGCCGACGCAGCGAAGGAATTCGACAAACGTCGAGCGATTTGGGACGCGACGGTCGGTCGGGTCACGGCCCCGCTGTGTGAACTTCCCAATTGCACTCGGCCCGGTGAAGGCAGTGGAGAAAGTGGGTTTGTGCGCCTGTCCGTGCGAACCTTGGAGTGCAATATGCTTGAATGCATGGCTTTGGTTTCCCAGTTGAACACGTGGGAGGCTGTCGCGACCAATATCGTCCATGATAGAGGTTGCTGGATTAGATCGCGTAAATATATAAAAGTGTCGTTAAAAGCCGCCACCACCCGACACAGCCGACTAGTAAGGGATTGTCACGTAAACAGAACGTGGCCAATTCGTCACTAGCACCAGCACACCGCTGTGTTGGAGAGCCAAGCCACAAGATTTACAATCTGAGTGGCGTTTCGCCAATAATTACAATTAACTTCAGCAGGCGACAGCCAGATTTGTGGAGGAGTCTTACTGATCCCTTTATAAGCACTGCTTATAAAGGGATTTTCCTGTCAACACCAAAGCAGAGACCCGAGCTTTTGAAAAATAATAATAATGTTTCCACCCTTTCTATTTGGTGTTTGAACATCTTAACGCCTGCTTTATTGCCAGAAAGGGTAAAACCTATTCTTATTTTTCCATACTTTGCTATTGCCAGAAAAGATCTCACGATATAGCTGAGCTTTTCTGAACACCTCATGATGTGGGATGTAATGTCGGGTGAAACGTAGAAAAATTATCAAAACAATGCCCGCTTTTCAACACTCATCCTTCGGTTTTCTGACCACCCAAATGAATTGGCATATTTGCCCCACGACGAGACAACTTGATTTGACTGGCTCTGTCGGGTGGTGGAGGGTTATAGTAAAAAAAAAAAAACTGACATTAAACCTACGCGATCGACCCAAAAGAGACCAATAACGAACCAAGCCAAATCAGCACCGTCTTTAAAAAAATGATCACGTTGAAACGCGGCGGAGGCCTTCCCGCATAAATAATTGGCATTCATTATCCATATTGCCTAATCTATTTGAGCCGTGGCTTGAAATTCCTGCTGCACTGCACCCTGAAGGAGGTGCGGAGATGCAGTGAGGCATCCTGGACAGCGGTTGAGGGGATTGGGCGGGTTGCCAGTCGGTGGAAGTGGTCTGGAGGGAGTCCCTAAGGATTTCCCCCCGGCATTCTGAACGAGCCTCACGGGAAAATTGCTGACGTTGTTAACAACAACAAAAACCCGGGCATCGTCCAGCGCATGGTGACACAGCCGGTCGACAACGACGTCACCGTCATGTATGTACTGTGCGTTGGAAACTTCGTTCGCAAAGTACGTAGCCAACCCGTGCTAATCGTTGGATCCTGGAAGCTAAGCAGCAGCCTGTATAGCGCCTGGTTGGGTAACCACCGATCACAAACAGGTTGTTATAGGCTGCGGGTTCTACATGGTAGGCGGCAGAGGGGAGTGGAGCAACATCCACTGCTGTACTGCACTGCAATGCTTCCACATTTGTGCTCGCCGCCTTCACCTGAAACTGACCGGCGTGGTGAAGTACGGTTAAATAAACCTCACGGGAGTGGTGAGGCCATTGCCCAGCAGTGGACTGGCAGAAGAAGCCGTGCACATGCGTTATTATTATTATTATTGTTCTGCATCGTTAACCACATGCCGTTTGAACCACGAGCCGGGATTCCCATCGACGCCGGTCCGGCGCTCCACGACGATCGTTTTAACACGGCGTTTCCCGCTCCCCACCCCCCCCAACCACCCCGCTTTGTCCGGCGCCACTCACAGTCCTCGCCGGAGTATCCGATGACGACGCGAGGCTCGGGGGCCTCGCCGGCGTCGTTGACGGCGCGCACGCGCAGCTCGTACGCGGTGAAGGTGGGCGTGGGCTGCACGACGTAGCGTGCCGCTTCCGTCACGAGCGTGTCGGTCCACGCGCCGCCAGCGTCGCCGTCGCCGCCCGCGCCGCGCACGCGCCACCCGACGAGGTAGTGCAGCCCCGGGCCGTTGCTGTCGGCGCCCGACAGCGGCTGCTCGTGCGGGCACACGTGCGCGCGGGCATCGTCGGCCGTCGATGTCACCGCGATCGCTCCCTCGTCGTCTTAAAAGATTGCCGTCGTCATCGTCGTCGGTGTCATGGTCAGGATCACCGTTGTCACGATGGTCGACGCCTTCGTCAGCATTGTTATCTTTCACGTTATCATCGTCATTGTCATCACCGTCACCATCGTTGCGCACGCTGCCTTTACAACAATAAAACGCTGCCACTGTCGTCGTCATCATCACCACTGTTATCTTTGACATCATTGTCGCCATCATTATCACCATCATTGTTATCATGATCAGACACATTGCCATAACCGTGAAACATTATCATCATCATCATCATCATCGTCGTCATGCGCATTGACGTTGTGGCCATCCTATTCCCCTGGCTGCCGGCCCTCTCACCGTCCAGGAGATGATCATGTTGCTGGGCTGCGTGCCCTCGCCCTTCACTCCCGTCGGGTTCATGTCCGGCGCTGAGTGACAGCCGAGCCAGGGAGTGTCAGGGGGACCACGGGGACGGCAAAAAGAAATCAAGACTTTTGAACGACGCCCGTACGTTTGAATCACTTTTAGTTTCACCCGAAAAAAAATAACCGTTCACACAATAAAGACAAAGATCCCCTGGACAGCCTCAACAGGCTTTTGGGCAAGTGCTGTTAGCGAGCACGTATGAAGGCCGCCACGGCACACGAGGGAGTGGGTGGCCAGCACCACGCCCGGCCGCCTTTGTCTCCTTAGTGGCGATGTTAACACACCTTACCAGGTGCTAATTTGAGGCCGGGTCGACCTAGGGGAGGCCCAAGACCGGTTCAGACAATCGTCACCGGTGTTCGCCATGAGCGGCAATCGAACCCGGGTGGCCAGGTTTGGAGGGCAGTGCGCTCGCCACTACGCCACGGCACAACAAGAAGTGTTTTCGCAAAACACGGGGGCCACGGAAATGCTGCGTGAAAGCCGTTCATGTAAACACGAGGGTGTCTCGCAGAAGAACGGCTTCGCGAGAAATAAACAATTCGCGCCGGGGGTACGTGGCTCTGTGTGTGGCGATCCCCCCCCCCTCCCCCCCGTCCGTCTCTGGCGATCGTCTCTCACCGGCTGGACCGGTGGTGTGGGACTCGGAGGGGACGCTGGGCGGGCTCTCTCCCACCTCGTTGGCCGCTGTCACGCGGAAACGGTAGTCCATGTACGGCGAGAGACGCAGCTCCGCCGAGCTGCGGTTGCCGCTGACGCGAGTCAGCTCCTTCCACGTGCCCGGGTCGAACCGCTCGTCCTCAAACTCCACGAGGAATTCTGGCGGACGGACGGACGGACGGATATGTGGATGGGGTGGATGGACAGATATATTATGGACAAATTCATTAATGGATGGACAGATTGATGGAGGATGGGGGAGGACAGATGGGTAGACATTTTTAAGCATGTGCTGGACAAATTGATGGAGGTACGGATGGGTGGACAGAGGGACAGTTGTACAGATGTATGGATGAACAGACAGATGGGCAAATATGTGGGTGGATGGAAAGATAGTGGGACAAAGTATGAATGAATGAATATAGGACAGATGGACAGATAGATGGACAAACGGATGGAAGATATGCACCTTAAAACCTATTTACTTCCGCTTATTAAACTTTTAGTTCATTTAGTAAATTATTCTTAAAATGTACATATTATTTTTATGCTGAATGTCTGCTGCTGCTGTGTTCTGTACAGTGCTTTGAGATCCTTGATGAAAAACGCTATATACATGTTATTATTATTATTAAGAACAGATAAATTGATGGATGGACACAGAGGCAAATGTGTGTACGGGTGGACGGATGTGTAAACAAAACAAGACTGAAAACTCAATTTAAAATCTTATCCGAGGAAACGACGGTGTCCCCGTGCGTTCGGACAAATGGCACTGCATGCCCCTCCATCACCGACGCCGCTGGCGGTCCGTTCCCTCCCAAACCGCCGCAGCTCCCCGCGACGTTTCGCAAAACCCGGGGGAAAATCCCCCGCGCGACGCCGCTGCGCGTCACCACGGCCCGCGAGCGAGGGATCGACGCGGATTGATGTGCGGCGCAACGTGGGGGGAAGGGGGGGGGGGAAGCTGTGGGCTTTACGTCTTTCGAGGAGGTGGGGGGGGGAAAGAAAGTCGATTTCAGAGCGACGACGAATTACATTGGGTGGAAAGAAATAAAGCCACAGGGCCCGATTCGCATCCTGAGCTATCGGGGGGGGGGGGGGGGGGGGAATTCGCGGTGCGACTGGGCGACTGGCTCCACTGTTTGGTGATAGAAATGATCATGGAAATAATCCTAATAAAGACAAACAATAACATTCCAAAATTTAGAGAATCTGATGCACTGTTTCGATCGAGAACTCGGAGGCGTGGAGCCAGAGCTAAAAGTCCCTGGTGCGCCGGCCTGATACTCCATACGGTGTGAGTGAGGCAGGTTATTTTGGAGCTGCTGTCCTGCAGTTTGTCGTGGTCTATTTGTGATGTCCAAGCAAGCGTGGCGTTGCAATAATCGTCATGGCCACAGTGTGGCTGTGATGATGGCGCACGTAAGAGAAAAACATTTTACGCAAATTAATGCGTCACAACAATGTACAATCAATGTTTGACCGGCTTACAAAATCCAAGCAGTGTTCAATATGCAATTAGCGAAGAAAGCACTCTGAGCATAATGTGCACAATTAGCGATTGTTAGCAACTCTGTCCACCCAGCGGTAAAAATGTGTACGCCACAGTTCGTCAATCGGCTGGTCGCATGCGGTGTGGGTACTTCCACCTCTTCCAAGTTGTTTGACCAGCGTGGAGGAGTCGATCAAAGTAGAGGGGGGCTCACAAGAGCCCTCTCTCTCTCTCGAGCGAATCCCCATTTTCGCCAACAGTGGCACAAGCAAGTAAATGCAGGGCTGCACCTTGATCGATAATATGAACTTAATTAGGTCCTGTAAGTGCGTATGATGTGGTTGGGGGTGGAGGGGGGGCGGGGGGGGCAGCACCTGTAATTGGGGAGTTGTGGCTGCTCCCCTTGGCCCACGCCAGATGAACGCTGCGGTCCTGACGCTCACTCAGACGGAGGTCGGTCGGGGCGTCTGGTCGGTCTGAGGGGGAACGACGCGGATCAATTATTCAGTCGACCAACACGTCGAATGGTCAAATCGGCGAATTAGCCAATCGCTCGCTCGCAGAGTGCCAGGCTGATGGGACTTGCCCAGGACGCGGAGGGAGGTGCCCGCGGAGTCGGAGTCGGTGCCCGTCGTCGCGGTGCACACGAACCTCGCCTCGTCCGCCTCCCGCACGCTCGCGATGACTAGGATCGAACCATTCACCCGATACCTGTGGGGGGGGGGGGGGGGGAGGGGGTGGGGGTGCGTGATGGAGGGGGAGGTGGGGGTTAGGTGTGGGGGGGGTGGTGCAGCACCACCGGGAGACATGGGAGGAGAGGGCGGAAGTCACGTGATGAACGATTCACACCCTCCACAGAGATCAGACGATTTGTCATTCATTATAATTCGCGATTTGATTCAAGAATTGGTTCTTGTTTTCATCTTCTTTAACCTGCAACCGTTCAATCTTGAATGTGCCCGACTGCATCGGATCTTGGAAGCAATGCAGGATTGAGCCTGGTGGTATATGGGTGGGCGACAACCAAGGTGCTTGTCAGGCATTGTAGGTATCATGCCAATTGCTTACACAGCAAAGCAACGATGTTTGAGGAGGGCTCCTGCTGCGCCGGAATGTTTGGCCGAATGTAGTAAGAGTGTTAGTGAGAGCATGTGAAGAGAAAACGTGCGAGTATTCGGTGGATTAACTCTTAAAAGTTCCACGCAGATAGATTCAATCCACAGGCAACCCTGATCATTTCCATCTGCATGCGAACTAAGCCCATTGCTGTCCTGCCATCTCATGACCACTGTGCAGTCTGGTCATCCACAGCAAGTGTCCCGAGTCTCCGAAGGACTACATCGAAGTCCTCAAACCTGCTTATCATATTGCATTTTTTTGGTCAAACATCCGAATGCAGGAACCCCTTCAAAAAGAGTCATGCGACTCAGTGAGGCTTGCAACATCTGGCAAGCCCTCGCAGTCACCCATTGTAGTCCTGACTAGGCCCAACCCTGTTTAAGCTTGTGAGGTCTGATAATTTGCAGGGGTGCGCTTTTGTCATATACTTGCTTGTGCACTGTTTTCACACTTGACTTAAAGCTTTCATGACTGCAGGAATTCATATTCTTTGGGTCTTTCGGTAAAGTCACGTAGATAGGTTCAAAGAAAAACACAAACACAAGCGTACGTCCTGATGACGGATGCTTGTGTTATGATCGAAACGTCGTCGTTTTTTTGTTATTTTTCTTATTTTCTTTGAACCTATCTATGTGACTTTACCGAAATAATATGTTTTCATACTCTTCTGTAACGCAGTTGTTTTTGCAACAATTTCTATTTGGTTATTTTTTTGCTCTACTGAAATTCTACTCGGTTGTCCCTGCTCGGTTGGTTCATTGTTAACACTTGGATTTGATTTGATGACATTCTGTCCTTTTGGTGACCCAGGTCACCGTTGCAAACGAGCCCGTGCTGGTCTCTTGAGTTTTCATCTGGTTCAAGAAAATCAACTTGAAACCTGAAGACAGCGAGACAATTTGTGTGGCGCCGTAGCATCGCGCATGCCGTTTAATTATGGATGGGAGCACCCTCTGGGCGAGTGGGAGGCAATCAAACACGCTGTCCTTTTTACCCAGACCCCCCCCCCCCAGCAGCCTGCCCCCACTAGCCCGAACAGCACCTGTAAACACCGCCGCCTATGAATGAACGCATTAATGTTAATGATGGCCATGAGGCTTTCCGCGTAAATTAACCAAGCAACTGTGTGTGTGTATATATGTGCACGTGTCTGTGTGTGTTTGTGTGCCTGTGGCGTTGCGGTAATGTATCGGTTAAGGCACTGTGCTACGAACTCAGCGATCCGAGTTCAATCCCTGCTTGTGGCGACAGATATGTCAAGCGGTTCGGAGCCTCCCAAAAGGTCGACTCAGCGATGAGTACTTCAATGATTACTTGGTGCAGTGGGTAAACATCAACCCTGGGGAAACAAATATGAACGGGAGTCGTAATGGCCACACCACCGCCTTGTGCGCTTGTGCCGGCCTTCACTAACAGCACTTGCCCCAACTGCCTGTTGAGGCTATATGGGAGATATTTGTCTTCATCTATGTGTGCATTTACATATCGCATGCTTCGTAATGACAAGCGGTTCTTATAACCGAAATGGTGACGAATGAGCGGTGGCCTAGCGGCTAGCGCACCGTGCTACGAAGCCTCTGACCTGCCTTCAATTCCCGGCCACGGCAAAAAGTCGGTGGTGGTTATCTTTGCCACTCCTGGCCTTCCCCTATGTTGGTTCAACCACGCATGAGTACCCGGTGGGTTGTGTAAACGTCAGCACTGTGGAGGCAAAGGCGGATTGGGCGTGGTACTGGCCACAGCACAGCCTCGTGTGCTGTGCCGGCCTCAAGAGGTGCTGGCTGACAGCAATTGTCTCAACGACCGATTATAAGGCCGCCCCGGGGATCTTCGTCTTTGTACTTCATGTTATAAACCTCATGTCAGAGAGGGTGGACTTGAAGGGCCGTGTTGGGTGGTGTTAGGCACTGGGCAGAAGGACGAGGTGGAGGTGCGGCGAGAAGGCAGGAGATGGCAGGAGTTGATAGGAGGAGTGGCAGGTGGTAGCTTGCGAAGGGTTCAGTGGGAGGGTGTGAGGTGCAATGCACAACAGTGGCACAAAGGGGGAGGCAGTGGTAGAAGTTGGACAGGGAAGGGAAGAGTGTTAGCTTGAGTGAGGTTTAGGAAGCAGTGCAGGAGTAGCGTGGTAGGCAGTGGTAGGTGAAAAAAGGCAGTCAAGAAGAGTGGCAGACACTTGAAGGTGAGAGGAGTATTCAGAGATTAGTGGGAGGTACGCGTCGTGATGATAGATGCCGGAGGGCAGTGGAGATTGGTAGCATACGATGAGAGCCGGTAGGCGATATCTCAGTGCTGAGTTGGAGTAGGCGATGGTGGGTGGCACGAAGCAGTAGAAGCAGTGGTACTTGGTGAAGGGTCCGGTTGGCTGCAGTGCAAGGGGTACAGGGATCATCGGTGGGCGGTAAAGAGTGGAGAGAACAATGGTAGGAGATGCGGGAGGCGGAGGAAGCAGTCGGAAGCAGCAGGACAGCGCGGGGAAGTGGAAGGTTCAGTGGGGCCGATGGGGGCAGCGATGAAAGGGGTCAGGGTTGTGGGTGGGGGGGGTGAAGGGGGCGGCACTGGCGAGCACCTGCTCTCGTAGGGCAGCACGGCGCCGTTGCGGCGCCACAACACGGTGACCTCCAGGCTGGGGTCGTGCCGCACGATGCACTCCAAGCGCACGTCGCTGCCCTTGCGAGCGCTCAGCATTTTTGGGAGGCCCGAGATCTGCGTCGCCTCTGCGGGGGGTGGGCAACGGAGACAGTAATCGATGGGAAGTCGGACCGACGGGACGCGCGGCGACGCGGCGCGGTGTCAGCAGCGGCGATCCACGGACCGCGCTATGCATGCGGCAGCCCTCGCCGTCAGTTCTGAGCTGACTTTTTGAGTTTTGAGCATAAAGCAATCACGGCACGATACACGGTAATACTGCGTGATCCGTTTAAAAAAATATCTTCATCTTCACATACCAAGTACCTGCGAGATTCAGAAACACAAAACTGGCATCATACGTTTACGTTAAGTTCAGTGCTTCAATCGCAACAATCAACCTGGCTGCAGCCAAGCCAACACGATTGTTGGCGTCGCGCGGTCGGCATTGGCCTATCACTCCTCTCCGTGACCCGGCACCTGGGCCGCTTGGGCTCATGCGCCCCGGTGCAGTTGCACCACCTGCACACTCAACAGTTACGCCAGCACATTCGTGCCAACGACCCCCAGCGCTGAAGAGCCCCCACCCATCTTTAGCCATAGACCCCGACAGATGCACTCCGTGCACCGATGTTAATCTTGCTCCGGGTCCTGGGTGTGTGAAGGGCAGATTGTTGAGGCCATCAGTAATATTGACAGTTTGGGGAATGCCTTCATCCAGCAGTGGATTGTTTGTGATGATGATGATAATGAGGCTGTTCAGGGCTGATTCCATAATCCCCCCTACAAGCACCAAGCCTTGACGAAACACCCTTGGGAATGAGGGAGTGTCGAGGCGAATTGTTTATAAATAACGCTGGCCCAGTTAGCGGCTCGTGATTTCGGCTGGCGCTCGGTAGCGTCGGCTCGAGTGACAGTTCAGTGGCGGTCTGTTAGCGGTCCGTCGGCGCTTCAGTGCCGATCGGGTTTGGCGACAAGTGCCGTTGCGGCAACCGGCGGCGACGCGGCTACCTTTGACGGAGAGGCGCGCCTGGACCTGGTTGGAGCGCAGGTCGTTGCTCGCGACGCACGTGTAGGTGCCGGCGTCCGTGCGCCGCACGTCCGTGATGCGCAGCGTGCCGTTCTCGAAGGTCCGGTAGCGTGTGCCCTGCAGCTGGCTACCCTCCACGCCCTTAAACCTGGTGGCGAGCGGTGCAAGCAGGGGAACGGGAGAGGTGACAGAGAGCCGTGACTACCGACAACGCCGAGTCAATCGCCGGCGTTGTCGGTTCGCGTTAACCAGCAGGCCACGAGCATTCACGGCGGCTCACGCCTCCGGCGTGGGGGGGGGGGGGGAGGCGGGAGATCGTGAAGTCGAAGCGATGCGACAAGGGTCACGGCGAGTGAGCAGGAGAAATGGCGTGCGCTGGGCCCGCTCGGCTGCTGCATTGCTAACCGATGCTTAATTGAGAGAGAGGGGGAGGGAGAGAGGGAGCCAGGGCGCTTGTCTCACCACAGGATGTTGGGGCGTGGCGACGCAAACACCTTGCACTCGATGTACACGACCTGCTTTTCTCTCGTCATGTACAGCCTGTCCGGCTCCGTCAGCATCCGTGGGGGCACGGCTGTGGGAGGGGGGAAGGGGTCGTTCGTTAGGAGTTCATTGAACCGCAGAGACGTGAACGAGGGTGCGGTTCCAGGTGCGGTCTTTCCAGTTATCAACTTAATTAGCGATGGGAGGGAAACCGTCAAGTCGTGCCCCCGTAAAGGTCAGGGGTTGTGACCACGATTAGCAGGAAGGGGTTTAGAAAAAAAATGTCAACTTCAGATCCGTCTGCTTCGGTCTGCCGAATCCATCGAGATAAGTTTCCCGAACGAGGAGATGATGGCTTGGTGGCGCGTCGTCATCGCGGGGACGGGCGCAGCCCTGGCACTCGTCGTGGTTAATTAGGCAGTGTCGCCCCGGCCGTGGGGTCAACGTCGGGGTCACGTGGGGTGGGGTGGGTGGCGGGATGGAGGGAGAGGGAGGAGCCAGGTGATTGAAGAGGAGTAGATAGAGAGAGAGAGACAAGTGAGGGAGGAGGGAGAGAAAGGCGGAGATAGGGCAGGAGTTGATAAAAAAAAAGATTCAGGAAGAGAGAGAGACACTTCAGGAGAAGTGAGAGAGAGATTGGGGAATGAGGGGAGCGAATTTCAATGGAAGGAGTGGAGGAAGAGCAGACGATTTCTAGGAGGAAACACTGAGGAGGAGCAGGAGGAAGGATGGATGAAGAGAAGCCAGAAGAGAGGAAGCAGAATGAGGAGGTGGAGGAAGTGCAGAGTTTGAAGGCGGAAACAAAATACGAGGAGAGGGAAGAGCAAGAAAGATGGGCACGAGAAGAGGGAGTTGAAGGAGAGGAGGAGGGAACATTGAGGAAGAGGGCAAGTGAAGTGGACGAGCAAGATGACAGAGGAGGCAGCAGAGAAGGAGGATACAGAAGGACAATTATGAGTTTAGCGAGAGAGAAAATGATGATGACAAGGGTAAAGACAAAGCTGGCGAGGAGCGAGGATTGTGGGAGGAGCTTCCCCACCCGTCCCAGTCTGTAAACGTTTATTATATTACCAGGTAAGGCCCTCTGAGCTACGTAGATCTTTTCCAGAAGCAACCTGGCCACAAATGATCGCTCAACGAAGTGGCTTATCACGTGGAAATTTATCGCAGCCAAAAATACTCTAAACGTGTGGCCATTCTAAATGTAGAGGCAAAAACAGGACGGGGAGAAAAATTCCGCGCAAGCAACGGGGAGCGAGACACGCAGACTCCAAATATACAGCAGCAGGCGTCAGGGTCGGGATCGAACCCACGACCTCCTGTATACCAGGCGGGGCAGTTAACATCTCCTAGCCACCGTGGCGCCCCTGGGTGCTGCCACCCCCCCCACCCACGGCGCGGCGCTCACCCAACACGCTGACGTAGGCGTTGGCGAGGATGGTGCCATGCCGGTTGGAGGCCTCGCACTGGTAGACGGCGCTGCCGCCCACGTCCAGGTCGTTCAGCATCACCGTGTCGCCGTCCACGCGGCGCCCTGGGTCCGCGGGGGACTCTGCTCCACCACACGCGGCACGATGCGGCACGATTAGGGACAGTGACTTTCCGTGAATTGTCCTGATTTGGTGCGACGTGGCACAGTCCGGTATGGCTTGGCATGATTCGGAACGAGTGGACACGATTTGGTATAATTTGGCACCATTTGGTATAATTTGGCATTATTTGGTACGATTAATTTAGCACAGTTGGGCTTAATTTGGTGCATTGCTCAGTGATTTGGCTGAGTGAGTAAGCTTGCCAATAGCTGGGTGAGCGTGTGCATGATTGGATGAGCGATTGGGTGAGTAAGCGTGCGGTTGGTTGACTGAGTGCGCGATTGGCTGCGCGAGTGTGCATGTGAGCGGACGAGCGTGCGGTTTGTGTGAGCAAGTCAGCTGGTGCGTAAGCGTATAGTTGGGCGAGTGTCCGAACGAGCGAGGCTGGCTCTCCCCCTATTTGTGTGCCCTCGTCTAACCGTCGATGGGAGCGCCGTTGATGAGCCAGCGGATTCGTGGTTTCGGGGTTCCGTGCGCGCGGCACACGAGCTGCGCGTTGTCCCGCGGGGAGTAGACGCGGCTCTCCGGGACCGGAGGGATCCAGTACGGCTTTGCTGCAGCGGCCGGGGAAGACACGGAGAGGATCAGACGGGAGAAATTTCCCTCACGCGTGGAAACAAGCAAGACAAAAGGCGATGGCTCCCTCGTGTGGCCTTCAACGGACTGTTGGGGCGAGTGCTGTTTGCCTAGCAGCTACGTAGGCTGGTGTGGCACACGTGGGGCTGGGTGGCCAGGACCACACCCAGTCGCGTTTGTCTCCCGAGTGGCGGTGTTACCACACCAGTATTCATTTAGGGCTGAGTAAGCCTAGGGGGAGGCCCAAGACCGGTTCAAATAGTCATCACCGATGTTGGCGGTGAACGGGAATTCAAATCGGGTTGCCGGGATCGTAGCGCACTGCACGAACCGCTGCACCACCGCTCTCCGTAAGTCCATACAAAAAGATCCCCCGTATAGCCTTAACAGACTGTTGGGGCAAGTGCTGTTAGCGAGCACCTATAAAGGCCGGAATGGCACACGAGGGGGTGGGTGGCCAGCACCACGCCCGACCACCTGTGTCTCCCCAGTGGCGATGTTTACACATCGCACCAGGTACTCATTTGAGGCTGATTCGACCTAGGGGAGGCCCAGGACCGGTTCAGATTATCGTCACTGGGTGTTGGCCGTGAGTGGGAATCGAACCCGGGTTGCCGGGTTCATAGCGCAGCGCGCTAACCGCCACACTACCGCTGCCCGCATACACCAACAGAGGCACACGGGCACACACCGCGCTCGCAGGCAGGCGGCTAGCCGGCACACACCTTCCACGGTGACCGTGACGGTGTGCAGCGCTTTGCCCTCGCTGTTCGTGGCGCGGCACTGGTAGCTGCCGCTGTCGGCCTCCGACGCGTCGCGGATCGACAGCGTCTTGTTGAAGTTGTCGAAGGTGACGCGGTCCCGCGTTATCTCCCCACCCAGCTTGCTCCACTGGAGCTCCGGCGTGGGGCTGCACACACAGGGAACGCACACACACACACACGTACGTATGTTCAACTCCTTTCACACCATACGCAGCCAACTGTGCCAATCAGAGGTGCGGGGGAAGGACAACAGACTAAACACAAAAATCAGTTCTCAAGAAATTAGTTTTCAATCTGGATTTAAAGTGCACAGCTCCACCGGCTTCCTAATATTGGGAGGAAGAGCATTCCAGACGGCCACAGAAGCGCATATGGAAGTGCGCGATGCTGTGACCGTCTTCTCTTCGAAGGGCAGCCAAAAATCGCCTGCGTGGAGACACGTGGGGAGATCCGGGGACCAGCGAACGCCTACGCGGACGCACGTGGGCACACTCGAGCACACAACATGGGGACAGGTGGAGAGAACAAGCGGAGACACGGGGGGTGGGGAACGACGACACAGGAAGACGTGCGGAAATGTGGGGACACAGAGGGATGCACTGAGGGACACACGCAGGGATGCGAGAGAACAAGTTTGGAGTTAATACGTTTCTGGATTTTAACGAGGTGATTTGGAAGAACTCGGGGAAAAGGGAGAGTGGGAGGGAATTCCAATGCGGAGCAGTGCGAGGGACGAAGCAGGAAGAGAAGACGTGCTGCCACCTGCAGTGCGGTGGTGGCTGAACAGTGCAGCGGAGGAATCAACGAGCAACGTATTGAAAGGTGCTACTCGCTAACCGCACTTGCCCCAACAGTCCGTGACGCCTATACGGGGTTCTTCGTCTTTGATTATACTCCCTGCGCACTTTACCGTGCAGGGCGCGCACGGGGCGACCGCGTCCGATCGCGTTGGAAATTTGTCATTGAGATTCAGTGGGAGTAGTGGCGGGTGGGGGGGGGGGGGGTTATTGTCAGCCTTAAAGGCTGCATGGGTGGTCGTGGGGCACAAGAAGAAAACCAACATTAAATATAAAAGTCGACTTTGTGTTCTCATCTATTCGCCTGACGGGAAACCAAATTCCGTTTCATTGCCCCTGCGGCAGGCACGCTGGGCCCTACCGGAGCGTTCTGTAATACTGCCAAAGGACTGTAGACGTGGGGAGGACGATCAAGGACGGACTCGAGGTTTTGGTTTCTACGAGCTGCTGACTTCTTCAGTGTGGACACGCTTGCGTACGCATTGGTTATTGAAGAGAGCTGGGGATAAGAGAGGGCGGGAGGGAATCCCAAAGTGGAGCAGTGTGAGGGAAGCAGCAGTGTGGGAAGTGTCGTAACCTGCGGTGGGGTGAGTGGGTGAGACTGTTGTTGTGTCCTGCGGCGTGGTGAGTGGATGAGAGTGTTGTTGTGTCCTGTAGTGCGTTGAGTGGAGCAGTGTTGTTGTGTCCTGTAGTGTGTTGAGTGGGTCAGTGTTGTTGTGTCCTGTAGTGTGTTGAGTGGGTCAGTGTTGTTGTGTCCTGTAGTGTGTTGAGTGGGTCAGTGTTGTTGTGTCCTGTGGTGTGTTGAGTGGGTCAGTGTTGTTGTGTCCTGTGGTGTTTTGAGTGGGTGAGAGTGTTGTTGTGTCCTGTGGTGTGTTGAGTGGGTCAGTGTTGTTGTGTCCTGTGGTGTGTTGAGTGGGTGAGAGTGTTGTTGTGTCCTGTGGTGTGTTGAGTGGTTCAGTGTTGTTGTGTCCTGTGGTGTGTTGAGTGGGTGAGAGTGTTGTTGTGTCCTGTGGTGTAGTGGTTGAACACACTTTGGAGGAGATGAAACAGTCAGCCTGACAAGAGTCGTATCCAACTCAACACAAGTGATGTGTCAGGCAATCCCTTATGCTCCGATTAGCACGGTTGACTATGTACGGTGCGAAAGAAGTTCAACATATATGTTGCTCGAAACGTCGCCCATTTTTTCTCTGTACAGAAACTCCTGTACTTTCAGCGATATGAACAAATCTGTCATTCAAGGGCTACTACGTTATTGACAAACATGTGTAGAGTCTTGTAGCTGCTCACCCCGACCCCGAGCTCTCAACGCCCTGACAGTGGCATTGCCTTTGTGCTTTTCGCCTTTTGGCGTCCTCTGCTCTAACACCGTTTGAGACGAGGCCCAAAAGAAAGCTGTCTCTGGTGTGGACCAATCGGTTTCAAAGACAATGCATCATCATATACTACCAGAGCATGTTTTTTCATTTGCATGTTCACCACAAGTACGTGTGGTTAATGCAGACACGATTCTTTGCAAAAGGTTTCAGTTTGGTGTTTTCACATCCTAACGCAACTGTTTTATTGCCAGAAAGGGGAAAACCTATTCTTGTATTTTGATACCGGCAATGGAGGTCCCATGATGAGTCTTTGTTATTGGCGCTTGTGCAGTAATCATAAGGGCGGGATTACGCGACGACGGAGCTGAGCGATTTCGGTCGCGCAACTGATCGCTCGCGTGTGGACCCCCCCCCCCCCATGATGATCGCGCGCGTCGCCCACCGCTCCTCCCGTGCGCGTGGTCGCGCGCGTGATGCGTACGTACAGCCCCTGTGCGATGCACTCCAGCAGCAGCGTGTCCCCGCGGAGCACCAGCTTGCTGCTCGTCGTGCCCGCAGGCTCCAGGAACGCCGGGCGGCTCCTCGACGGACGCTCTGTGCGCGTGCCCATACACGTGCGTGTGTGTGTGCGCGCGCGTGCGATAACGTGGGTGGGTGGTACAAAACACGAACACGATTAGTTTGCTCACGGTCCATGAACAGAGCGAAGCAGTTAGTAGCTAGCAATGCAAATGACGCCACAGGCAAGCGCTCGTCCTGAGGAAAGCTGCTCGGATAGGAGCTGACACCGTTCTCGCAGTGAGCAAGGTTACTCGAGGGCTTGGGACGAGGCCCCGTTGGGAGAGAGCTACAAGGTCCAGCAGCGCGAGGAGAAACGCAGGAATGGAAGCGCCGAGTCCTGCATTGTGGGGGTTGACGAGAGGTTGGTGAGAGTGCTAGAGAATGAGCGATTGACGTGGATGGTGGGGGAGGGGGGGGTGTCAAGGCGTGAAGTGCACGGGAACAATGGGCAGCAGGGTGGCACTCGCGCCTCACAGCAAGAAGGACTCGGGTTCGATTCCCAACTCGGGTGTCGTTCTGTTTTGCACGGATTTCCTCCGGGTTCTCCGGTTTCCTCCCATGGCAAAAAAGAAACCCACCGTACAATGTAACTGACGTTGGGCAAACATCAGAATGGTGAAAACTGCCTGCAAATGACTCAATTTGGATTACACACATAGCAACATCGCGCCTCTACTGTGAAAGCTTAGCAGGGCCCTCCTGCAAAACAGTCTGGAGAGACTGAGTGAGGCTCAGCTGGGCAAACGAGCACAATGATGTTAATAAGAGGAATGACTGCAGATGTGACTGGAATGAATCTGTGAGCACAGAGGAGCATTGAGCAAATTTGTCAACGATTAATTGTGTTCAGCAGAGCGACGCGAGAACGAATGGATATGCACAGCAGGTACGAAACGAGTACTTCAATTGAAATAAAACAAAAAAATGTAACACGTGGAGGTCGCTGTGTGGTTCGGTGTCAAAGATGCTGAGTGAGCACCACTGAGATACCTGGGTGTGACTCCAGGATCTCGAGGTGTCCGCGATTAAACCTGGGTTTGTCAAGTGCAGCAACAGTATTAAATGTGGTCGTTATTTATACCCACGTTGGTAAAAAAAATAAAACAACAAATAACGATGTTGTTTTTTGTTGTTTTATTTTTTTATCTACGTGACTTTACCGAATAGAACCAAAGAGTATGGATCCTTGCAGTCACGAAAGCTTCAAATCTAGGAAAGTTACTTATACCGGCTAAATTTCGTTTCAGGGAATTAACTATTCGTGCTGTGATGGACGTGCGATGAAAGGTCTTTTCCAGGAGCATAAATGGTGTGTGCCGAGCGTGGATGGATGGGCCCACACGAGAGTGATTTCAGAAGCAGTTTGGAGGTGTCATCTTCCGGGGCGTTTTTTGTTTGTTTGTTTTGACACAGGGTGGTGCAATGCTCACTGCTGGAATCTGAACGCAAAAGTTGCCAGTGTCGCGAAATGTCACCGGTTAGCACAACTGGTATAGAACGAGGGTACAAAGTTAACATTTCCAAAATATCAATCTGCGCGTCAGCCTGCCGCGACGGCAAACAACCCTCGCGCCGCAACGTTGCCATTCAAGCAGCAGCCGCCGCGCATTAATTAGGCCTCTTACAATTTACATTTTCATTCGTTGTCCTTAAGTGCATCTGTGCGCCTTCGCAATGAGACTCCGTCCAAATGGAACGCGCCACCACGTTACGCCGACCAGCGAGCGGATATTTTTTTTTTCCCCATTCTCCGTTTAATTAAAATCCGCTCGCGTGTGCGCACGCAACGTGCGCGACAAATACGAGACGGTGCGAAAGCTTCAGGATAATCGCGCGGCGTGCCTCGGAGCCCTCCGCGCCTCTCCGCGAGCGAGCGAGCGAGCGCGCGGCCGGGCGGGCGGGCGGGCGGGCGAGGGAGAGAGAGAGCCGAGCAAGCGCGCGCCATTTGCCGAGGGTTTACAGCTCTCCCCCGAGTGCACGCGCGCTACGACAGTGACAGCTCGTGACCGTAAATCCAGCCGCATCTGGGAATCGCTGAAATATCGGCGGCGGGCCCGCGTCGCTTTATTACGCTCGCACGTGACATTTTGCCGAGATGAAGGCGAGCCAACGGGTTGATTGTGCCCCGGAATGTTAATGGTGTTCCCGCAAAGATGGCACGTCAACCTGCACGCTGCCACTCCATGAGCAAGCCATTTAAAAAAAGAAAAAAAATGCCACTGTGATATTTCTCGGCGGAACAAGACGCGGCGGGGCGTCGCCGCGTCTGTGTTGAGTGTCTGCCCGTCGATCCGCGCGCGTGTCCAGTCCGGCACGCTGACAGAGGCTGTCCCCACTCCTGTCGTTTGCAGGTGACTTGGAAGACCCCCTGGAAATTCTCTGAGACTAACATTCTCTGAGACTAACATTCTCTGAGACTAACATTCTCTGAGACTAACATTCTCTGAGACTAACATTCCCTGAGACTAACATTCCAGCCCGTGGACAGCATTTTCTCTGTGCCACCAAGCGAGAGTCCGTTGAAATGAAACATTCCTGCCGTGAAAAATACTTGAACACTCATATGTAGGCAAAGATCCCCAATATAGCCTCAGCATACCGTTGGGGTAAGTGCTGTTCGCGAGCAGCTACGAAGGCTGGCATGGCTCACGAGGAGGTGGGAGGCCAGCACCTCTCCCGGCCGCCTTTGTCTCTCTAGTGGCGATGTTTACACACCGCACCAGGTACTCATTTAAGGCTGAGCCGACCTAGAGGAGGCCCAGAACTGGTTTAGATGTTGGCTGTGAGTGGGAATCGAACTTGGGTTGCCGGGTTCGTAGTGCAGCATGCTAGCCACTGCACTAGATCCTCTCTTGAGACTTACAGCCAAGAGGGAAAGTGCAAGTTACAACCACCTATTGTAGCTAGTATGACACGTGCGGAGCTGGCGTGGCAAAAACCATGCCTAGCCACCTTTGTCTCCGCAGTGCGTTTGACACACCTCACCCCGTACTTGTGTAAGGCTGATTTGACTTGGGGGGAAGGGGAGGAGTGGGGGGGGGGGAGATGGCTCAGGGTAGGTTCAGATACCGTTTGCCATTGATGTTATCTATAGTCATGAATCGAACACAAGGATGCTGAGATCGTAGTGCAGTGCGCAGAACACTGCGCCACTGGTTCCTGCACGCACACTCACACTCACGTACAGCACACACGGCTCCAAAAGCAGAGCTGCAGAGGATCGTTAGCGAGTGACACATTTTCGGGACAATTCTAGATTTAAAGCTTTCTTGACTGCAACGATCCATACTCTTTGGTTCTATTCGGTAAAGTCACGTAGGTAAAAAAATAAAACAACAAAAATCACGACGTTTCGGCCACAACACAAGTGGCCCTCATCAGGTGAAGGGACCAGACTGTCTAGAGGACAGCGCTGGAGTGAACACAGCCAAGCTCAGACCGCGACCTTGAAGCTGTGTGAGAGGAAACAGAGCGCCTTGACAAAGAAATTAGCATAAAAATTAGCATTTAATTGGGGGACTTAGCATGATGAACGGTGTAGAGGAGGTGAACATGTGCAGGTTGGCGAGGGGGGGGGAGGGGGGAGTTCACATATTGATGGTGTGAAAAGGGAATTTAAGCAGCTGCGAAAGTTTGGGACACCACTACTTGGAAAAAATATACTTTTTCGCGCATCAACAAAAGCACGCCCGACGACAACGACAAAAAGACAGCAGCAGAGCTGCCGCACGCTCCTACGACGACGACGACGACGACGATGACGTCGCACGACGGCTACCGACGTGCGCACAGGGCGGGAGCGGCGCTCGAGCGGCGGCCGCGCGATCGCGAGCCACTCCGCGGAGTGTTCGCATCGGCGTCCCGGGAGAACTCTACGGGCAGACAGCCCTGTGCGTACGTATACACGGACACGCCGTATAGAAAAATGCGTGTGCGTGTGTGCGTGTGCGCGTGCGTGTGCGTGTGATGTGCGATGCAACGTGCCGTCATACGTAAGTGCGGCGCGGCATGGGGAGATGTTAGTGGCGGCGTGATTCGTTTCCGCTCGGCGATTCGATGATTTGTCAAATTCAAGAGTCGCGGTCCGATTCAACAGTCAGTGTTTTATCGTTAGTCTCTCTGTCAATTTCTCCCCTTTGTGATCCCGCTTGTGCTGTCGGTCTTCGTTTCTTGCGACGAAGATACCATACGGAACTCCCGCAGAGCGGGGTAATCCTTCGTGTTGGACAACGGTCCACTGAAGCGGATATCACAGGGCTACTGCTAGCAATCCCTTCAAAATATTCCATTAAATATTTTTTTCATTATATTGTGGAAGATTTTAGCACCTGTAGTGGCTGCAGGGGGCCACGTGAATTAATTACGATGTTTCTAGAACTTCATTTTTGCAATTGTGCTATGATTAGTCTAAAAATAATTTGCCAGAGCTGACTTGGGCTACAGGGAATTGATAATTTAACACCAATTTATGTTTGTGAAAAATGTCAAATTCCTCATATGACGGTGCAGTAATTTATGCTCTGATTTATATTCTCTTCATGCCTGTACTTTATCTCATTTCTTGTTGCCCTTGTCACTTTGATGATCCCCGGGTAACTCTGACAAAACGGGACTCATTCCGCTCTCTTCAGTGGTCACCCGGTTAAAATTGTCAAAAACTTGAACGACTATTTCGAGATTCTTAGGCGCGTGATTCGACGCCTGCTTCGCGAGCGCGCAGATCGACATCGGTCAGCGGGATCGAATCATCGTCAAAAAACCACCGGCAAGAACATCCCCGCACGGGGTCGTCTCCGTGTTGCTGTGACGAGTCGCACCGCTGTACCTGTACCCGCGCTGCATGCGGTCCCGCCATCACACAGACGGATGAGCCGCTGGTCCTCGTGCGCGCAAGGCAGCGGCGGCGGCAGGATTACGAACGCACGGCACGGCACTTTATTAGCCTCTTCCGGATTAAAGTATTGGCGGCCGTCAATGTGAATTCGCTCAAACACGAATTTTCAGCAGAGCGTCGTGTGAACGGCATCTCAAAGTTGTGTGGAATCGCCAACGCTGTGGAATCGTGAGGTTTTTTTTTTGTCCTCAAACGGAAACCACGGACAAGGGGGGAGGGCAAACCAAGAACCGATACCGTCAATTTCCCAAACTCTCTGGTCCTCTATTGGGATGATTGGCCAACTCCATTAATGAGCGTTTGTACATGTGGTAGTAAGCCAGGGTACCCGGAGAAAGCCCGCGAGTGCGAGACGGCTTTACGCTCGGTCCCCGTTACGGATTGAAATTAAATTCACTGGCTCATTAAAGACAATGCAGTGTCGGTTGTGGTTCAGGCAAGACAGTGGTGAGCGGGAAGGTGGCGGTGTGCGCGCTTGGTCGAGATGAGTGCCATACCACACACCGCACCGGTCACACGGGGGAAGGAAATAACAAAGTGAGGAGCCAGCAGCACCCCCAGAGGTCAACTAGTGTTCCGCCTGATCAAGTTCACGGACGAGCGGCAGAAGGGTGAATGGGGGATGCACGACAGGCAATCGTCCAAGGAATAGGAGGCCGGCCCGGTTGTCAGCAACGCCCGTGACGGCCACGCTCTTGCCGCCTCCCCCCGCCGATAATAATTTCTGTGCGCTTCGCGAAATTACAGAGCTAGGGCCGTCGCTTCGCACGCTCGGGAAAGGGCGGACGGGCGTCCTGTACAGCCACGAGAGCGCGAGCCACGTGCGCCGACCGACAGGACGATCGAGACAAGGGCCTCATCGCCGCCGAGAGGATGGGGACGCTCAACGGAGGAGGCTACAAGCGCCGCGGTTGTGCCGCATTTCACTCAGGCGCGTGTTTACATATCGTTCGGCTGAATGTCTGACGCTTTTCCTCCAAGTGCTACTTCAGCTTCTTCAGGAACCGATTTCAGCGCCGGGAGCCTTTTCAGTGACCGAATTACTGAAGAGGCTTCCGGGACACGTGGAGCGATAAAGTCGCACACCGTGCCAAACAACGCAACACGTCGGAGAGCTGGAGAAGAGGCTGCTGCAGGAACGCGAGCGATGGCACGAGGGCGGCAAGACGCGCCGCCTGCCACCGCGCGCGACGGCTTTGCCTGGTCGTGCCTCAACGCCCCGCCCCACCGGCGCTCTTCGGCCCTCAAGATGTTGGCGATGGTGTCGACGCAGCCGCGGACTTATCTGGGCGAGTAAAATTAACGTTTATTTGGAATTAATTGAATGAACGATGGCCCCGATGATGTCAACGAATCTAATTAACGGACCTTAGGACGCGGAATGTTAAACAATTAAGTTTGGGTTAGGGTGAAAATGAGATTTTTTTTTGTAGAGGGGCGGGTTTCAATCAATATTTGAATTACGGAAATATCAATGCCACGGGACGTGTGTGTGTGTGTGTGAGAGAGAGCAGGCAGCCGCTCACTGCGCGTATCAGGCCTCCATTGTGTTGTGGCCGCAGCAATTATGCAAATCGTACGTTGGTGCCGCTCTCGTGCCTTTAACGGGCCCTCCGCTGTAATCAAATTAACGGCGTCAACAAAGGCGCCGCCGGAGGCTTCGCGGTGTCGCATTGCGAGGCCTCGGAGGAGGTGTGAAGGAGGCTGATTTCTGTCTCGCGGCTCAGGAATTACGAGTCCTTATTTGCCCGGGCAGTTTTTTTTCTGGGAAACCGAAAAAAAAACCGCTGAATTTTTCTGCAAGATGTGATTATGGGCCGGCCCCACCGTCCTCGCGGTGACTTTGACTATGAGGCAGAATATTAAACAAGCTGCGCGTTGCCGTGGCTGTACCCCACGCGCTCCAGCGTGCCGCAAACGCCCGGCGCATTTTATTCCGCAAAATGATGCATCAGCCACCTTCGTTGAAACACCCTTGTTAAGATTTAAAAAAGTATTTACACAGGAAAGTCTCAAGACTCCCTTTAATGAGGATCCTACACTGGGATATTTGGCCAATGCCATCGATGACTTGAGCTGATAAATCCGCCATGCATACTCGTGGGGGGTGACACTCAAAACTCCACACAGATGAATTCGAGAAGCCATTGCTGTACTGCCATCGCTTGGATACCTCGCAAGCCTCATGCTTACGACACCAGGAAATCCCTGGCAGTTCGTCATGCCACGTAATAAGCCAGGCTGAAACCTGCTTGGCTTCCATGTGGATGTACTGGCGATGTGACTGGGTTTTAAATGTTGTCATAAATAAACGAATACGTTCTGCAGACGTGGAAAAAAATGATACTTCATGGTGTAAATATCATTTGAGCAATTTCGACCGCTGAGCGTGGCTGATGGGGCAATGTGAAGTGTCTGCTTAAGGAGCATTAAACTTCCACTGTCGTTAATTGAGCTGTTGACGCCATTACTTAGAACACGAATTGTCAATTTGTCTTTGCTGTAATTTATTAAGGCAATAAGTGATTTAATAAAAAAAAAGTGTAAACGCCGACGTGCGTTATTAAAATATTTTTTTTGCCGCGTTACAGCCACTGGCTGCATTTAGCGACGCCGTTAAACACGACCATTAATCCCGGCCGAGGCGTTGGCGCCGACTGCCCACGGGTTTCCAGAGATGATGTATTTCCCTCCGACGGAGGGGTTGCATTGTCGCGTCGTTTCCAGCCTGGCGCGGTGCGGTCGCACTTAACGCAGAGGGAAGTGAGTAATGACCGAGCCGCACGAGGGTCGGCTGCACCGCACGTTTCATGTTCGTGCGCACATGCGAGCACGCGCGCACGCACGTCACGAACACGCACTCACCGGAGTTTCATATCAAAAGCATTTGTGGGAAATGTGCGCGCGTGTCTGAGGCTGCCGAACGCTGCACAAGAGTGAAAAAAATTCGGCCCCTCCGGTGCCCTGTCGCTGGAACTGCTGCCGCGTCCACACCAGAGCCATTCCCTGCCGTCAGATTTTTTTTTTTTTAATCTCTTAACTCTCCAACCTAATTCTGTACACGGGTGACGAGGCGTCAAGAAAGGAAAGTGGTCCCGGACAGTTGCTCGCAGGGATGATGGCCGGTGGCCGAGGATAACGATCGGCTGGCATCCAAAGCACGGAGCACGTCCGAGGGTAGACCACCCACGGAGATGGAGCGACGAGATCAACTCGTGTGCCACTGCTGGCCAGGATCGTTGCATCGCGTGACAAGGAAAGATGGGGATGGCCTTTAGAGGCCGCCATTCAGCAATGGAGTGATCACGACTGACGATGATGATGATGACTTTCAAAGAAGATATATATTGTCAAGGCCCAGTGTTCCATCATTGCCACAACTTATCCTTTTGTGGTGACAAACGGCGACAGCTTGAGGAGGCCTTCCTCTAGCAGTGGATGGCTCGTGGCTGATGTTCGATGGTAGAATTTGGCTCCATGTGCTTTGAATGGAAACATTGAAAGATTTACCAATTTAAATTTCAAACCAACCGCACGCCCATTATAACCGCCGCTCGCTGCCCTCAATCGCGGAAGCGCACGCGGCTCTCTCGTCCTCTGAACAAGCCACGAGTTCCTAATCGCACTCGGACGCAGTCAGCCAGACACCCGTGCACATTTCATTAGGTGGAATGCCACGTGTATCACACGAGGAAATGAAATGCTTTTGATATTTATCCGGCACAGATGGCACTGCTCATCGCTCCCGCTCAGAACGAGGAGGAGACGATGACGATTGTGATGATTGTGATGACGATGGTGGTGGTCGTGGTGGCTGACGGAACGAGGTTGGTTGGCCGGCAAAAGGGAAACCGGCCACACCACCAATTCACTCACCGTGCCCTGGCTGGGACGCAGTGTCATTGTCAGCATCCACTGGAAGTAAAGACCAAAGCACAGCAGGAGAGGGTAAGGGGGAGGGGGGCATGGGGCAGGTGGGTGCGGGGGGGATTCTAAACCTCCGTTTTAAAATGAAAGGAAGACACAATCCCAAAAAAGAATGACAATGCAATACTAATAGCTTTTATATAGCGCTCTTCATGCAAGGTATCCCAATTAAAACAAGGAAGAAGAATCATGCATATTGCACAGATTTCCGCAATGCTTCCCATCATGCGTTTGAAGTCATTACATTGTTGATCTTTGTAACCATTAAGAGGAATGAGTGGTATCGGGCAGGACCGCATGGTGGGTGAGACTGGCGATGGAATCGCAGTCAAAGGAGGGACCGCGTCCAAAAGGATGACCGCTGCATGGGACGCAGCGCCGAGGTGAGCTCTTGCGTAGGCGTGAGATCGATTGCGAGCGCTACTGCCTCGTGAGGGATGTCGATCGACGGCGCGGGGAGGAATTCATCCAGCAATGGAGAGAAAATTCTAACATACAAAGAAACCTAAATGGTGCACTCAACTTGTGCGGAGTGAATTATCAAATCTTTCCACTTCTAGGTGTAAATTCGTACTGCCGCGTCGTTAAGGACCAATGCTGCTTTGGCAGTGAATGAAAGCAACACAAATCTGATCATTGGGTTGGGTCTTCCTTTAAAATAATCTGTGCGGAAAACTCAAATGGCGAACGTGGATTGCCACGGAAACGAGAGAGAGTGACCGGTGGGGGGGAGGGGGGGGGTGGTGGTCCAACGATCGCCAACAACACGAGAGCAGAACGCTTAGAAAACATAAATCAACCCGAATTAATTCGCGAATGAAAACGTGGACAAGAGTTGGGAGCAGCACGGTGAAAGCTAAAAGAAGAAAAAATAAATTGATGCTTCCTGACGCTGTGGGCTGGTCTCAGCGGCAGTCGCCGGGCAAAGTTGAAATTTTTCCATTTGTGAAATTGCCCCCGAGTGGAGTTAGCGCTCCTGAATTCGCGCTGGTCCCAGGGCCCCGCAATCTCTGCCTCCGTGTCAGAGTTGATGCATAACGCCCGCCAAGGGGGTAAGGGAGGAGGCGCGGAGGTGGGGGGGGGAGCGGGGAGGAGGGGGGGATTCAAAAACAGAATTCTGTGAACGAGCGTAGAATTTACACCGCACGACAAAGTACCATGAGGCTCGCGAGGCATTGCTGGATTCCAACACCAACTGTGCACTGTGCCAACAGCCTTAGGATACAGGGCCCACAGGTCACTGCGGGATTACTAAGCCATTCGTGCATGTCGGGTTAGCCAACTCAAAAGGTTCATAAACCCGGGACATATTATGGGAAGAGGGGAGAACTATGAAGCAATTGACCAAAAACGTGACTCTCAATATTCGTCGGGGAAGACTCGCGGATTTTTCAAGGGCAGTTTCCTCAAAGAGAGGACCACATTGGGAAAACCAGGAAGGGTGGCAACCCTCCGCTTGCAACACGAGCCTAACAAGACGAAAAAAATCCACCAGGATGTGCGATTTCAGAACGGCCAGAAAACCTAAAGCAGTAGAGTGCCGTACAAAACTGACGGAAGTGACGAACAAAAACAACGACGGAAACCACTTCTTAGGACCGGGAAGCTGGAAGCACGCACGTACCCTCAGCGCGGCACAATCTACGCGGGTCTTACACACGTACGTGCTCGAGCACGGATGGTGTCGGACATTTGGCACGTGGTGTAAAATGGCGGTGGCGACGACGACGAAGCGATGAAGGGCGACGCGCGGGCGCCCCGCCACTCACTCGGCCTGACGATCAGCTTGAGCGGCTGCTTCTGCTGGATGGTCTGCGTGTGCGTGAAGCGCGCGTAGCACACGTAGTCGTCCTTGCCGTCCGTCGGGAGCACGTTGGCGAAGTACAGGTTGCCGTTGAGGCCCTGCGACACGCGCGAGTCCTGCGGGACCCTCTCCATGGCTGTGCCGCCGCCGTCGTCGGGGTAAGGGGATAATAAGGGGATCACGGGGGTCAGGAGGAGGAGGTGGAGGAGAGACCGGTGTCAACGAAGGGGGATGGTGGAAGTGATTTGGGATGGGGTGGGATAATTGTGGAAGGAGACGGACGCCTCCCCAATGCCGATGTTTACACACTGCACCAGGTACTTGTGTGTAAAGTTGAGCTAAAGTGAGGGTAGCCGCAGATCCCCTTCACAAATTACTCACCACTGTTGTTTGCCATGGCTGGGATTCAAACTCAAGTTTATGCATGCACACACGTTTATTGCAGAAAGGCAAAGACAAAGATTGCCCCTAAAGCCTCCAAACGAGTTTTGGGGGAAGAGCTGTCGGCGAGCACCTATGAAGGACCACACGGCACACGAGGGGGAGGGTGGCCAGGACCACGCCCGGCCGCCTTTGTCTCCCCAAAGCTGATGGTTGCGCACTACACCAGGTATTCATTTAATGCTGAGTCAGGCTAGGGGAGGCTCAGAACCGGTTCAGATATTTGTCACTGTTATTGGTCGTGAGCAGCAGCCGGGTTCGTAGCGTAGTGTGCCAACCGCCACACCACCATTCGACACAAAGTGGCGGTGGCGTCACCACAGGGTTGTGCCAGGCTAGGTGCACATTGAGGCGTGCATGCAAAACCACACAGCCACAGTAAGCACTTGAATACGTGCACTCAATCGTGCACGCACAGAAGTGGACTCACAGTGAGACGGAGACAGAACGAAGAGGGAGAGAGCAGAAGCCAGACCCTTACACAACCAAGGAGCAACATGTGTACAACACCCTATTAACAAATAATCACAATAAAACTCAAACATTGCCTCCCCCGACGATGACAGGAACTCCTGTAAACACCAACACACAATGAGCAAACAGCAACGAAAACAGAATGTACCCCTCCCCCATAACGAACGGCCGTATACATTTTCATGAGCACTTAAGGGGCACGGCGCGATGAATCTCCTGACAAATTAGCCGCCGTGAAGGCGGCAGGCACAGCGAGCCCGCGGTTTCCCGTCAACGGCCGGGCGACGGAACACGGACTCGGAACTCGATGAATCGGAAGAAGGGTTGCCCTTCTTAAATTCACGGATCGCGCGGCGACATGCGGCAATTTAACGGTCATCTCGTTTGTAAAGAGTCTCGTAATTGTTTTTTTTGTGGTCAGGCATGCAAACGCCCTCTCGCTATCTCCCCCCGCCTCTCTCTCTGTCTCTGTCTCTCGTGCGCGCAGAAGCGCACGCTTGGCTGCGGGCGCATCGTGGTGTGTTCGCTGCCGCCTCACAGGAGGAAGGTTACGAGTTCGACTTCTGGTTAGGGGTTGTCTCTGCCCATATCATCCCTCCGACGGGTCGAAAAAATGAGCAACCTCATTGTGCCGAAAATCAACAGCGGTTATCCTTCGGATTGCCTCAGCTTCCGACCTAGGAATTGGGAATTTCCTCCGCTGGCTTGCAAGGCCTCAATGAACACCGCCTCAATGCTCATTTGGGCAGGGGTCCGCTCACTCACTCGGACAAATGAGTCGGTGAAGCCAGAAAGACGTGCACCCCGATCCCGCGTAAAAACTCGACCGATGGGCGCGCTGCAATCGGTGAAAATCTGGGGCTGCATGAACGGGTGAAGTGACAGGTGCTCGTCGCGATGCTGATGCGCGTGCGGGCAGCGTAGCAGGTAGCGGCGCCGCACTACGAACCCGGGGAACCGAGTTCAATTCCCGCTCACGACCAATAATGGCAGCGAATATTTTGAGGCGGTCCTGGGCGTCCCTCCCCTAGGTCGACTCAGCCTTGTAGTGAGCTCCATGGCGTGGCGTGTAAACACCGGCACTGGGGAAACAAAGGTGGCTGGGTGTGGCGTTGACTACTCACGCTCTTGTGTGCCGTGCCGGCCTTCATAGGTGCTCGCTAACAGCATGTGCTCAAACAATCTTTTGAAGGCTATACGGGGAGACGTGTGTCTTTATACGCAGAGCAAGTATTGTTTGCGAGCACACATTAAGGCAAAAACAACAGCACTTGCCCCCATTGTCTATGAAGGCTTTATGGGGGATATTTGTCTTTGTACTCATAGCAAGTACCTATTAAGGCCAATATAACAGCACTTTTTTCCAACAATCTATGAAGGCTATAACGCAAAATAATAAGCAGCGTTGCTGTGGAGAATATAAATAACAAATGTATAAGCGGATAATGCCTCCACATATAATCCGTCTCTCCCCATCAAAAATAAATAAAATCAAACCGGCATTCTGGGAGCGCGTAACTTGAGCAGCACTGATTCAATGCGAGCACAACTCCGGCCCGGCTCCGACACCACACAGCATCTCGCGTTTGTAAAGGCCACAGACGTTTGCGTCGGTACTCACAGCCGTCCATCCAGAAGATGATGGGAGGGGGCAGCCCGTCGGGCGGGTTGCAGGGCAGTACGGCGGAGGAGCCCTCCATCGCCACGACAGGCTCCAGGTTCTCACGGGGCCACAGGGGGGCACCTGGAGGACACAGACAAAAGATAAAGATGCACCGTATAGCCCGAACAGACTTTTTGAGGCAAGTGCTGTGAAGGGTGGCACGGCGCACGAGCGGGGGGGGGGGGGGGGGGGGGTGGCCACCACCACGCCCGGCCGCGTTTGCCTCCCCAGTGTCGATGTTTACGTGCCGCACCAGGTACTCATTTGAGACTGATTAGACCTAGGGGAGGTCCAGGACCGGTTCAGATATTCGTCGTGAACGGGAACTCTGGCCGCTGGGTTCGTAGAGCAGCGTACTGAATGCGACACTACCGCTCCCCATACACACACGCACACATGCACAAACACACACAAACATAAACTTTTATCCTTTAATATGAGCAGACTATTGTTGTGTTTCCGCATACAAATAAAATAAGTTTTAGTCCATCGCCCTTATGGCTGGAACGCATAGAACTCTACAGGAAGATTTCCCTGAGCCTCAAAAAAGGTGAATGTTATTAAAGTTGCTGTCATTTTGTCTGCTCTTACAAGGTCACATCCGCTGACCTTCCGCATCACGACAACCAATCACGACGCCCGCACCCGCACACCCCCCTCCGCCTGGCCCCCAAGAGCCTCCACACACAAAAAAAACACAACCGGTAAAGTTTACGGCTCTTAAAAAGGAATAAATGTCCTGGTTGATATTACTGTTTTTGTTTGTATATTCTCCTCTGAAATTATTGAGAGACGAACCGGCTGTGAGAAATGTCACGGGGGATGAGCAAGGCTCGGCGTGACTCCGTTCACCCAGCAAAGTGATGAGACTTGCGAGCGTGTGTGTCACCTGCGCCGTGTCACAGAGGAACTGCTCACGCTCCGTGATGCCTGCATGTCGGCTGTCAACGGTGACACGGAGAGGCCCGTGTTTGGCTGGCTCGTCGCTTCATTTCGTGTTTGGCTGGCTTGTTTTTTTAAAATATTATTACCATTTTTTTATGCTTTGTTTCGTTCGAAACAACAAATCATTACCGTTCCCATCCCGTCCTAATCAGCGCACGGCCGTGGAAATAATGACCCCCTAGGCCCGACCGCCAAAGTCACGTCCGGCACACCGTCCGCGCGACTGCTACGGCGGCCCAGAGGCGCGTTCGTCTGCGTTCACTCTTTTGTTAGCGAGCACCTATTAAGGTGAGACGGAAATTTGGTAACTGGCCCGTGTGTGTGTGTGTTCCGTGTCAACCCGTTGAATTGTGCTGTATCGAGCTTTACTTCATTGCATTGTCCTGTTCTGTTTTAATGTGGTGCATTATGTTCATTGTACTGCATTGTATAATTATCGGCGTGAGAATATGCGCTGTAAATAATACACCCATAATGCACCACGTGCACACACACACCCGCCGGGTGGCTGAGTGGTAGGTCGCGAATTCAAATCCTGATTGGGGGATGAGTGAGCCCATCATCCCTTTGGGGTCGATAAAATTATTAGAGTGGGGAATGATGTGCTGTGGATAGAACTCGCGGCCACCGTAGGAGTGTGGAATGAGCACCGATGATACAGGGCTGTAAAGCGTACACGAGCACCAATGCCCCATAGCTCATATGGGCACAAATTCACGTGCACGACTCTGGAGCTGCGCATGAGCTGATTTCATCGCTGCAGCTGGATTAGAACTGAACAAAAAAAAACATTAATCATTAGCCTCGACGGCAAAGATCCGTCCGTTCTACCAGCACCGTCTCTCCGGAATTTATCTATTTATTTTATTTGCCACAACAAAACTCATTACAGTCTCATAATTTCACAAAGGAGCGGGGGGGAAAAAATGATACAGCGGCGCAAACATGAGAGAATTGCCTCTGACAGCAATTCGAAAGCTAATATTCCCCCACTCACGTCCCTCCGAATCGCTATAACAGAAAGCTGGCCTCGGTGTTGGCACAAGACGCGGTGTAAATCTTGGCAGCGCAACTGTCTCTCCGCTCTGGCACGCTTCGAACGTGCGAGTCTATCTCTCCGGGCATTTTTCAATTCCCGTTTTCGTTTGAGTGAGTGCCATTTAAGTCCCAAAAATAGTAAATAAAAAAAAATCGATAACAAAAAAATAAATGTTCTTCTCCAAGACTCATCCTACTCGCCGACAGGATATTAAAAAGAAAATGCCCTTTATATTTGATTGAATAAATGCATTTCGGACAGAGCGAAAAAGTTTTAAGTTGAAATAAGCTACGTGTGACAGAACCAATCGAGTTACACAGCACGAGCCGCCAGTCGCGGCCGTCCCAGAGGAACGACTGTGTTGTGGAAAACGGTCAAAGTTACGCAACGAATCAACGTCGACAGCCGGGATTGATCCACTGCTGGAAGCAGGCCTCGTCAATGTGCTGCCATCTCTCACGATCCTGCGATGCAACGATCCATGCATTGCTCGGACATGAAACCGATTTCATAGCCTCATTGCCACGGTGGACGCCTTCTCGGATGCGTTCCGTTCCTTGGCTGCCGCTCCGTTATTATTCTTCGTCCATTGTCCACCATCCCTTCTGGCAGCGGAGTGTCCTTACCAGTTTGGATGGTGCCATTAAACCTGAGACTGTTCTGTGATCCACGTGTTCCTCTCTCCGTGCCTCTCACTGCAATTCCACACGTGTGCCATTCTATTCTTCTCTGAGTTCATGTCAGCGGCGGCTATTAGAGGCCAAACCATTCCGTTTTGGAGAAAAACGGCGAGTTACTCGTCGCGCACAAATGCAGCTCGATTAGAATTGAGGTGAGCTGTGTCTCCTACTTCCGAGCGGACACTTCGCCTCCGCAGCCACGCGGCGTGATAACTTAAAACCCGGCGACGCGCAGCACGCAAAGAGAGAACGGCGCAAGACAAAAATCGCTCCCACCGGAGCGTCGGAGTAAAAAGCCCAGCGCGTCGGAATGCCGAGCGATAAAACACGCTCGCAGAACGAGCCTTTCAGAGGCGGGAAAATAAAAGGCAAATGAATGTTATTTTATTTCGAAAACATAAAAGCCAATGGGCTGGTTACGCGACGTGATTAAAACCTTGCCCTTCGACGGCGATACGCGGCGGCCCGTGATTGATCCCGTGCGTCGCAACACATCACCGCTTGGTCGAGTTTGCCGGGCGCTAATATCGCTTCGGAAGTCCAAAGCTACTGCTCTGATGCCTGTAGACAATTATTAATTGTCCTAATACGAAGCCTGATTAAAACATTCCAAATGTTATCTTGTGTAAACCTCAAACTAATTATTGTGTTGTATGTACGCCCACGCCAATTACCAAATGTGCGCCCGCATTAAGGCATACACGCACTAATATCTCATGCACGCGCCATTAGCTTCATCAAACGCATGCCACTAATGATCTAAAATAACACGGCGTTCATAATCCCGCTCCCCGCCAATTACTCTTTGGTTCTATGCGGTAAAGTCACGTAGGTAAAAAATAAAACTACAAAAATCACGACGTTTCGGCCACAACACAAGTGGCCTTCATCAGGTGAAGGGACCGTGCTGTCATGAGGACAGCGTTGGAGTGAAAACAGCCAAGCCCAGGTCGCGTCCTTTAAGCTGTGTGGGAGAAAACAAAACGCTTTGACAAAGGAATTAGCATAAAAATGAGCATGATGTACGTAGGAGGTGCATGATGGACCATGATGGACCAGGCGCGGAGGGGGGGGGGAGTTTACATAATGTTGGTGTGGAGAGAAATAAGCAGCTGTGAAAGTTTGGGATACCACTACTTGAAAAAATATACTGTACCATTGAAAATTAGTTTAATGTTTGGTTTGATTTAGAACATCTTTCCAATGATTGCTTGATTTGAAACCATCCTCTCGGTTGAAATTGTGTCTGTGTTTGTAAATGTGAATTGCCTCGTGGACAAATCTCTGATAAAAACCCGTGGGTTTGCAGAGAACCTTGGTATGGGAGAAAACTATATCGTGATCACCCACAGTGTTGTAACAGTGGTCAGCTACGGCAGAAGAATTCGTTCTGCCGTGTTTCAAATCTGATTTGTGCTCGCGAATTCGGTCAGAGACATGTCACTTCGTCTCCCCGATATAGCAATCACCCCAAGTGCAGCTCAATTTGTAAACCCCGGGGTACTGTAAGTCAGGTACGACATCCTTCACGGATGGGATCAGGTCACGGATTTTGTGCACTGTATTGAACCGGACCAGGATCTTGTGTTTGTTTAGAATTTTGGAGATATTTTTAGTAACGCCTGCTATATATGGTAGTGCGATGGTTTTGACCGGAGTATCAAGTGGTTGTTTCTGTATGGAGAAACAACCGCCAATTGTCAATTATCTAATGCAACCTAACGCACTCCCATGTAGACCTCACCCATCTCCATACAACCTGACTATTCGCTGCACAAAGATCCCCCCCCTGCACAGCCTTGAGTAGGCTGCTGGGCTAACTGTTGTTGTTAGCCCAGCACTGATGAAAGCTGGAGCAGCACAGGAGGAAGGTGGTGGTGGGGTGGCCAGCAACACGCCCGGTCGTCTTTGTCTCCCCGGTGCTGACGTTTTACACACCGCACCAGGTGCTCCTTTCAAGCTGAACTGACCAAGATTAACTGGATATTCAGATATAACCGACGTCAGACAAGTGCAGGGTTAGAACTCAGGTCGTCAGGTTCATAGTGCAGTGTGCTAACCACGAGATCATTGCTCTCCATGGCCTAATATTTTTGGAGCAAGTGCTGTTCGGCCGGCACGGCACACAAAGGGGTGGGTGGCCTGCCGCCTCTGTTTCTCCAGTGGCAATGCCTACACATGTTTACACATTGCAACAGGTACTCATTTGAGGCTGAATCGTCTTTGGGGACGCCAGGACCAGTTTGGATAATCGGCACTGGTGTTGGCCACGAGCGGAAATCGAACTCGGATCGCCAGGTTCCGTAGCGCAGCGTGCTAACCACTAAACTGCCGCTCCCCATCCACACACACATATTGTCACATACTTTCTCCTGTAAAAAGTGGTTGATTGCTGTCTAATCGCGCCTGACCTGGCATCAGTACACCCAGCAGAACGACCCCGTGAGAGCCGGAGTCCACACGAAGGCTGCTCCTGCGCGGTGCGGCTCGCGATGTGTGGATCGTGGTTCGCCTGCGTACGTGTGCGGGTACGTCTGCACGTGTGCGCGCAGCGACCCGGCAGTGCGCGGGCAGTCCGTTGTCAATTTAGCCCCTGATGGGGGCGGGGTTCAGGCGTCGCTGTGCGTCCCACTCACGTGACAGCCGCACGGTGATGTTCTCGGAGAGCGCCGTGCCGCCCTCGTTCTCCGCCGAGCACTGGTAGATGCCCTCGTAGGCCTCGGCGATGCCGGCCGCCACCATGTCGATGGTGATGGTGCCCGAGCCCTCGTGCCAGCTCACGTAGGGGTCGTCGTCCGGGTCAAACCGCCGCCCGTCCTTGCGCCACTGAAACCTGGCACCGGCAACAGTGCGGCTCTGAGGTCAGGCAGGGGTGGTGCTGTTGTTGGTGATGATTATAGTGGTGCTGGTGCCGGTGGTTGTTCAAATGGTTTTAGTAGTGGTGGTCGCCCTGATGGTGCTGGAGGTGATGATGACTTTCAATTGCCAATGAAGAGCCAATTATTGGACATTCAGCTGAAAGTGATTTAACCATGCAATTGCTTTGCCGGAGAGAATGGTCAATACACCCACTCACTCACTCACCCACCACCTTCAAGTTTATATTCGGGGCTGTGTGACGTTATATGGTCTATCATTTGGTGTTTGTAGCTGCAGTCCCTGTGGTGGTGGTGCTGGCAGTCATGTTGGTGGTGCTGGTGGTTTCGCTGGTGGTGATGGCTATCGTGGTGGCGGCGGCGGCGGTGGTGAAGGCATCGTTTATTGTTATGGCCGTGACCATAAATCGCAGCCGCACGTGGGACGCTCACCCAGCAGCTACCGGCGCTGACTCATCGAGTCATAAGCGGTTCGGGGACAGACGCTGGGCGCAAAACGAAACTGCCCGAGCGAGGGAAATTAAATCAATAAATATCAGGGAGGCACGCACGGGGCGTCGCGCTGGGAACAGCTGAACAATGAAGAGAGGAAAAGAAAAAACAACGGTGTGATCGACGGCGCTGAACCTGCGCGCATCCCTCGCAACGTGGAAAGAGGCGACGCCGCAACTTTCCGCGCACCGACGCTTGAGCCGGTTCGCCACTGCACGCTCCGCAATATTTGCGCAGGTGGCGGGGGTCACAGTCGGTGAGAGAAACTCGGCCGCGAGGACGGCGGTGAGAAATAGCAACGGGAAGGCGCGGCGCTGGGCCCCGCTGACGAGGCAGCGAGCCCACGCGGCGCAGGGGAGCCAACTCCTCTCCACCGGGTCCGGGGCTTTGACGCGGGGGACTGGAGCCCGGGGGACTCGGGATTGTTAAAGGGGGCCCTCTCCCAAAATCTATAACAGCTACGTGCCCCCCCACCCCACCCCCCCCCCCCCCGCCAATGAAACGTAACCCTGCGCACTGTGGTTTTTGTTGTGGATCGCTGACGCACGCCTGCACGCACGGACGCCTTTATAATTACCCTCGTATATCTCACCAGCGGCAAAAAAAAAAAAAATGGGGCGTCCGTGAAAAATTGATGACGCCGCAACTCTATTTAATGGACTGCCGAGCATGCAGGCACGTCCATGCCTTGCCCCGGCACTGCCCGGATTGGGGGAGCGCGTCCCGCACGGAATAGAGCCGCGCTGAAGATCGCGCGTGCTTCTTGTGCGCCGACTCAAGGTGAATTATAACGCGACTGAGCGGACGTGAGAGAGAGGGAGGGAGACGTGAGGCAGGTAGACGGGTGACTGTTGAGACGGAGGGAGGTCGCTTACTTGGGCGTTGGGTTGCCTTGGCCCTCACACTCCACCACGATGTTGTCCCGTGGGTCCACGATGTAATCCACCGGTGACTGTCGGGTGATGGACGGAGGCTGCTTAACTGCAAGATATCGACGGGTTAACAAAGTGTTGATTTTTATTATGAAAAAAAGGTACCAGCATTCCAGCGGTTCGCTGGCAAACAAAAAGATCGAACACGTCTGTTGGATCATTTCTCGCACCGCCATCGCCATAAACAGTACGATCGCAAGATGATTAGCATGGCTGGCTATGCACGGTGTGAAAGAAGTTCAACATACGTACACACAAGGTGTCTAGGTGTGGCCGCACCTCAAGTCGCTGCGTAACAAGAAATATATTGAGGGCATGGGAGAAAGATGACTGCTGTATTGAAGAGGGAGTTTGTCGAGGTGATGAACATTGTCAGAGCAGAAGAGGAAGGTCTCAGGTCTGGACTTCACCAGGGGGATTATCATTATTGTTATGCTTGATTAACAAGGAGGGCGTCATTGAGTCTCAAGACTCTTTTTCACCAGGGTCCTGCTACATTTTTAACAGTGGGTGGCGACGATTGCGAAACATGTTTCCCAAAATCAAGTGACTTGCGGGTGACTTTTCGAATATAGAAAAAAATGTGAACCGTGACCCCGGCACACAATGGCCTCTTCCTCTCCCAATGGTGCTACGGGATTATTAAACTTCCACAGCGACGCGAACGGCGCCTCTCTTTTTACGGTCGATACGCCCCCACAGCGTTAACCAGGGTGGCCTGTCGGACTCGAACCACAAGCCTCTGGACAGCCAGAGGGAGGGAGTTTCAGGCAGCGGTGGGGACAGCAGCGGGCAAGAAGCGACCTCTTATCGAGCAGATGTTGAACAGGGCCTTTTCCAATTGCCTTATGAAGTAATAACAAATAATATTTACAATGCCCTTTATTTAGGCCACATAGTGGGCGGTACAGGGTTCTGTGGTAAACTAGTTATACTGTACGTCTGGGCTTCCAAGGCGCCACTGACCAGAGTGGTGAGGTATGGCCGATTAAATGCGCAACCTTCATCTGGCAATGGATTTTATAAAGGGCCGTACGTGTTAAATTGATATTAAGCCGGCCTCACTGAGGCTCAAGACTAGTTATTATTAGGGCCCTACCGTTGTGATGTTTGGCCAATTCCATTTATGAATATTTGGCATATATACCAGACTATTTGCTTTTTGTGAGATTAAAGTATCTAAAACCACGAGAAAATAACAATGTTGGGACAATGTGCTTAACAGCATTGAGGTGATACGTGGCTACCAATGGAAAGGTCAGCTCATTATACTTCATTCATACGTTTATCCTTGACAATAGAGGCAAACCATTTACAGCCCACGCAGCTTCAAATACCCGAGAATTAGATTTTCCCACGATGCCAAATTCGCGCATTGTGGCTTTAAGGCAAAGCTGCCACGATGCCTCACACCAATGTGTCTAGTCCCGGCTGTGATGTCTCCTTATTTGGCCACGACACGGACACACAATGGCCTTGCCTTATTTTTAAAACATAAATGATATTGTCTCTTGTCCTTCGTGCACTGTGCAAAATTGTGAATGCATACACACACACACACGAGTGTGTTTTTTGCACAGGAAATGGCACGGTAATGGAATTACAGGGCACGTCAACGGTTAACGGAATAACACAGGCGATTCCGCAGTAACAGAATTCGACGGGTGATTCTGCGGGGTAACGAAATAACATCGCCGATTCTGCGAGGTAACGAAATGACAAATGAGATTCCGCGTTAAAGGATTCAGGCAAGTGATTCTGCGGGTGATGGAATTATGCAGATTTCTCGGTGTCATAATTACACGGCTGAATCGGCGGGATAACGCAATAACGCATGCGATTCCACGGTATTGTAATCAGTCAGGTGATGATTCTGCGGGTAACGGAATGATGCAGGTTTCGTGGTGTCGGAATTGCGTGGCCGATTCCGCGGGGCGATTCTACGGTTGTGGAACCACGAGACCAAGATGCTAGAACTCATACTTTGCGCCAACCTGCTGCGTGTAGCGTCTGCAAACTGAGGAGGTGACGATGTATCGATAGTCATCCGATTAGCGTACGTCGCTGTGCAATTAGTCCCCAAGAACCCCCCGCAGTCCCTGCAGGCACTCGAGAGTGCGACGCTCACCCCAAAGCAAGTGAAATATAATCGATTCTAGAATTAAATTGCGACAAATTCTGATTCGCGAACATTCACATGGATCGCGACGGGGATGAATTGTCATCACCCTTTATGGAAACCGAAAGGGCCCAAGGGATGCATTTGTAAAATTGTGAGCCCGTCGTGTTTCCGTGCATCTTGCTGTAATCCCGTTACCGTGTAAATAGATCGTGTATTAACGGTAAAGGAGCAGCCCTGCGATTGATTACTTGCTCTCGCCACTGCTGGCTTAAGGGCCTCCACTCAAAGCGAGCTCTCGAGAGGGCGTTTTTGCTCGATACTCTTCCAATTTGGCCAGATATTTTGGACGCGGTGGGAGTTACCTACACTTTACCCCACCGCATGTGACCTGACAATCATGAGACTAATTGTGGTGAGACCCATTTATACTGCTGGGTGGAGCGAGGGGCGGGGGGAGGGAGGAGATGGGTAGGCAGGGATCAAGAAACTTGTCCCCCGCATTGTTTCAACTGCCGGGCCGCCGAGACATCATCGTATCGAATCAGAATCTTTATTCAGACTGGAGGAATCCGATGAGCTATGAAGCTCTTTTTCACAGATGTCATATTGACACACATGTCTCCGGATTCCAAGTCGCGTGTGTGCTCAAGCTAACGGGCAGCATCGCCGAACCCGCGTATCAAATAATTAAAAATTAATAACGCGGTACTGTTCTAAGATTGTCTTTTTTTTTATTTCCCCCCCCCCAAGTGTTGCCAAGCCCGAGGCCAAATGAGATGAATGGCTGATTGGCTGTCCCGTCACACGCGTGCCAAGCGGATGATGTGGCCGGGGCGCGTGCGGTGGCGTTGACCTTTGAAGCGCAAGAGGCTAGGCGAAGGCAGAGGCGTTGGCCGCTAACTGGCGGAATTTTTTTTTGTTACCGCATGAAACCGGCGGCAACGTGCGCACCTGGCGTGCGTGACGACAAAATCCGCCACTAACCCAGGCACGGTGCGTGCGGGGATCATCCCGTGCACGACCTTTTTTTGCCGGGTTGAATTTAAGCTTCGCGTAATTCAGAATCGGAATTTGAATTCGAAGAGTCGAAAAAAAGGAGAGAAAATATAAATTCGGGACGGTGGTTCCCAATGAACGCCCTGACGGGTGAGGCCCTCACCTAGCAGTGGATTGACAAGGAAAGCGCACTGTGTGCACAGTACAGCATTGTAGTATACATGTTGCCTCCAAATTTCTGTGCTGCATCTCGGGACTGGGGGGTGTGGAGCTGTGGGGACTGGGGGCTCTGGAGGGGTGGTGGGGGGCTCTGGGGTGGTGGTGGGGGGCTCTGGGTAGTGGGGGGCTCGGGGGAGATGGGGGGGGCGTTGGGGGGGGAGCTCTGGTGACTGGGGGCTCGGGCTCTACGATACGAACCCCAAATTGCATCGGATTTGCGCTGCGCTTCCGCAGGACCCCCGAACGCAGCACCACACTCCGTCTCGTGACACCATGCAGATTGCACGAATGGAACAAAATTGGGGAAGAAGATGGACCAAGAAAAAAAACAACGGAATTGTGTGGGCTTTTTGTTTTTGGTTACAAATAAGTATTAAATAAACCGACAACGTCCCCCACTGTCTTATCACCTGGGCTCATGTCAGCGTCAATCTGTGGTTCCCAATCAGGGGGTTCAAAACCCCCACGGCTGCCACGGGCCGGCCACACCCCCCCTGCCTCCCCCCCCCCCAACAGCTTTCATCGGCAATTTATTTATTTATGTCCCCGGTGCACCCTCGCGCGAGTCAGTCACATTTGTATGTAATTGGGTGTTCAGATGGAAGCGGCAGATCTGCTTTATTAAACCCAAACTGCGGCTCCTTTCGAAGCGACGACGCGATGGGGCTGCCGTGTTATGAACAATCACGCCCAAAGGTCGTAGCGATGAGCGCACGCGCGCACGCACGCGCTTCGTGAGCAACAGACGGGTGCAGGGGCAAAGTTGCAAGCGGGTTCCGCACAACACGCGGTCAGAGCTCCATCCCTTGCCGTGGATAACATCAACCAGCGAAGGAGGAGGAGGAGACAAAGTCCGCCGGGAGCGGTTTGGCTGGCCACACTAAACCCGCCGAGTCGGCCTTCGTAGATGCTCGCTAACTGCACTTGTGACCGACAGCATGACGTGGTTATACGTGGAATCTTTTTCTTTGCTTTGCTACGGTTGGATCGGTCGTTGACAAGATCGCGCGTTGCGGCTTCGAACGAACCTCGCTGCTTCAAGTTTGATTCCGGTCCACGGCTAACGTCAGTGGTGATTAATCTAAACTAGTTATGACCCCTCCCCCCCCCCCCCGGGCTCCCCGAACTAGGTTGACTCAGCATTAAATGAGTACCTGGTGTGGGTGGCACTGGGGAGGCGAAATCAGCCGGGCATGGTGCTGGCCACACCATCTTGTACTGTTGCGGACTTCATAGTCACTCGATAGCGGCACTTGTCCCCATTGTTAAAAGGCTGCACGCTGAATCTTTGTCTTTGTGTAAGTGGGCACACGTGTATGTGGAGTACACACGTGGCACTGCGCGTGTGTGTGTGTTGTTTACATGAGCGTATTGACAGGAACGATTACATTGCGGCGGGTGACAATGGCAGAGTCCTTCGCATCCTGGAGCGAGCCAGAAAAATATCACGCTGCTATGGTGGGCGGACGCCCTGGGCAATTCAGTAAATTTAAAAAAATGATATATATATTTTTTTTACAACGATAACAACATGAGCCAGGATAAGGCGGTTTTGAGCAGTTGCAGACGCTCAAAAACTCACAGTTGGATTCACAGAGCGAAGCAACAAAGATGAAAACAAACAAAACCCAACTGGAGCAAAGAGGCAGAAATAAACGAGTCGCGATCGCGCGTTGCGCAAGAAACTCATTAGGCGTTACTGTGAAGCATAGTGGATCATAACATATGCACAGTACATACAAACACTCCTCACCCCCCCCCCCCGTCCGTTCTGTGCCTCTACATACCATTGTCTGCGGAGTGCTCTTGCCAACGACGTCTAGCAAACAGCAGCGTTTGTATAACGAGCCCGACTGCTGATGAGACCCAGAAAGTCAAAACCGACGCAGTGCGTTTTGCTTGCTTACACAAACGCTGCCGGATAACGTTGGTCTGGAAAGACGCCACAAAAGGTTGATGGACGAAAACACATTTTTTTCTTAAATTTGAATGCGGAGAGACAGAACGGAAGTTCTCATACGAAAGAAGAGTGCTTTTGAGAGTATGATCCGTCTCGTGCGCACACACACACACACAAAGGGTTGACTTACCCTCTTTCATGATTTGGGCTGCATCAGAGATGGAGAACAACAATGGGAGAAAGAGAGACATAGGAAAATATTAAAACGACATGAGTAGCGGATAGAGCACACACGTACGCCCAAACCAATTACTTCAAGACAAGTAAATAAAAGTTACTGCCCATAGCCACTCAAAGTGGTTTTCTGCTCAAATAAACATTCAGTCGATGGTCATCTGCTGTTCGCAGCCTTGAGCTATTGGTGGAAATTGCACATTACTTTGACGGGAGTGATTCTATATACATAGGACGAACACTATTAGCTTCCCCACAAAGTGGTTCCAATTTTATCGACCCCTGAAAGGATGATAATGGGCTAAGTCAACCCCCAGACAGGAGACAGGATTTGAACTCGCAACCTTCCGGTCGCGAGCCGCTCGCTCTACCCCCGAGCTGCGTGACCACCAGCACAGCTTCTTTTAAACTGGAGATGGATGGGGCTGGTCTCCAGAAAATATTTCCCCGCCCAGGGATTTGTGGGGTTGAGTATTGAGGGGATTGTGGGACCCCCAGAAAATCTAAAAGCCCTGACCACTAGAATGACATCGCCTAAAAAAACAAATCTATGCAGTTCACCATTCTTTATTTGACCAGGTGATCAGGCCTACTGAGGTTCATTCGTAGAGATGTGAGAATGTATTGACTCATCAATCAGGATCGATTCCAACGTTCGAGGTGGATCGTGTGTGCCGGATCAATGTATTTCGATTCAAATTGGTTCAAAGGTTTTTTTTTGCCACTGCAGGTTCAATAGTTTTTTTTTAACGCTTAAAGAGTCTATAAAAGAACACAACTCTAGATTCTACATGTACTGCAATGGTAACAACAACAACAAACGATCAATTTGCAAACAGAAATGTGACCCTGAATCCTTGCAATTCATGGAATCGTGCAGTGGGTGACTTATTGCATCTCTACTCATGAGCTCTGTTGCAACCGAGTCCTGGGTCAGCATTGTTATAACATACACACACTTTTGAGCATGATTATTATTTAATAATTTAGCAGTTAGTCATTTTCATTTTTCTATGCTGTGAACTGGACACACAAACTGACTCATCTTGCACATGGGGTTGGTGGGTTGGATGGAAATCATGAACAGAGATAAAATCATCCAAACAACCAAATCCCCCTAAATTCACCTGATCTCATTGGATCTCAGAAGCCAAGGAACATCAATCCTGGTTTGTACTCATTTTGTAGACCACCAGGGCTTGCCAGGTGTTGTAGGTGTGAGGCTGAATCGTGTGGCCAGCAGATGGCTTAGTTGAGTACCACCCCCTCATATACTACTTGTCTAGGTTTTCTCCAGGTTCTCAGCTTTCTTCCCATACGTACAAAGCAAAACAACAATTAAAATAAATTGGCCCAATATTCCAATGTAGCACAAAGTCTTAAGTCTTAATGAGGCTACACTGGGTGAGCAATTGGCATTAGCAATTGTATGAGAGGCATAATCTCTTGAACCCTGCCTAAAGTAGGTTTGAGGGAGCAAGTATTTGTAAAAAAATGTTTTACATTCACTGTGTACATATTTTATATATCGTACATATTTTATATCCTTTCGCAAGTCTGGGTCATTACTGTTGGGAATCCAAACCCATCAGCCTGGCCAGGAGATGAGAGACGGATGCACCTGAGAGCTCACGCATGACTATGTAAAATAAATATATAAAAATCAATTCCACTCCCATCATCATTCACACTCGGAGGACCATGCTGTCAAACGACAAACGACTGTACAGGAACTGACATTTCTTCATAACAAGTTGTCGTTTCAATCAAAATGCAGGAATAAATTCATGATCGTGAGGGCCTTTCTCCCGTTCAAACTCAAATTGTTATCATTATTTTATGCCCTTTGTCAAAACACTGCTGTAGAAAGACCTCTTTCACATGCCGTGTCGGTTGTCAGGGGTTGTTTGACCATACTTCACCACGCTTGTCAGTGCAGGTTGGTTAAGAGGCTAGTTGAAAGCGGGGGGGTGGGGGGGTTGGGGGGTGCCCAGGACCGGTTTGGATCTCAGTCGTTAGCCATGGCCGGGAATCGAGGTCAGGTTACCGGGTTCATTCGTGCATGTGCACTATAATCACTGCACAACCCCATTTAATTAAGTGAAACAATATCATTCCCTTTAGTAATGATAGTAAAAACACTCAGGATTGCTGGGATGTAAGCATCATCCTGTCCTGTTTCCACTAATGAGGAATTCAAATGACACATCTTCGCTGAACCGAAAAATTTGCAAAATAAATATATTTTTAAAAACTTTAACTTCATAACAAACATAGCTGGCTCTGACAAAATAGTTTCCATGCCCAACGAGTGAGATTTTATTTTTAACTGTAACGTGCCCGGGGGTATGTCAACCAACGAGATGGAGCAATGAAATCAGCAGGTGTATTCATTCAGAACCTTCAATGCATCAAATTCTTGATCCTCTATTTATGTGCCTGGCACTTAACCCTTTCCCGTTCCGAGACTTCTGCAAGTTGCAGGGTGGGGTCCCGTGCACCGCTGAATCTCGGAACGTGCAAACGGCTCAGCGTTAACTTTATTTAGAGACGTTGTTACTGACTGCAGAGAACTGTAGCAACCAGACCACACTCTATGATAGCTGGCGCCAAACTGTGCCACATGCCCTCCCGTATTGCCTTGTGGGAGCCTCGGTACCAATACAGTTATTTTATTTTAGTTTTCCTTCCGATTTTGTTTTCATGTATCCTTTCTCTCATCATCCTGGCCGCGGTCACGTTGATGCATTGCCGTTAATTCTGCGAGCTTTTTGTACAGCGTTGTGCGATAAAATGTCATTGTACGCGCTATTCTTAGCGGCCGCTACATTCACCACCACATAAACAAAACATTCGATGCTTGAATATAATCTTTTAGGCAGCAGAGCGAATCGTTACGCCTCCATTGTAAAAATAAAGAAATAATCAACTCTGGAGGGGGGCTTGCATTGCGAGCCGCACGCCAGCTGAAGTGTTCCCCGAGAGGTCTGCTCGACTGTATTGTGTTGCCATCGGTAATAATTACACCACGGCAATTAAAATATAAAAGAACATTTGGAGAGACCGCGTGCTCTGTTCCTTATGAATGCATCCACGTCATAGCCACACATTGAGCCAGGCTTCACACAAAAAATAAGATAATGAATCCCAATTGGCTCTCACCTGGTGTCATTCAGGATGCTGAATTGAGAAAAAAATGTTCACGGCGACGAGTGACGCCCCTCTACTTGAGCCACGCCAAGGACGCGGACCGACGTGCCGCACCGGGGACATGTCAGCACAGTCATTGTGGCACGAGGAGCGGCTCCCATCGTCAACAAGGAACCAATTCCCCATGGATGACTGCACAATCTGCCTGCCTGGGTTTGATCTTTGGCGCCCGTGACCGGGCCCCGCCGCACAGGTTCCAAACCGGCCAAGGCCTCTGCGTGCGTGTAGCAAAGACTGAGCAGGTGGGGCTTACGCGACGACCTGAACTGCAAATTTTGTGCAAGACAAACGATGACGCCACACGTCGTTGAAGACCGTGTCCGCTATCAAAGCCTTAGCGGTGGTCTGAGGACGACGCTGCATTCTGTTAACGATGGTAGCTGCTGCCTGGCTTGGCTAAAACACACATCTATGCCTTTCCATTCTCCGCATCCTCCATAAACGTGTCTACCCAGCGCAGTCGTGCTCTTCCTCTACCTCTTGTTCCGTCGACTCTGGTGTGTGGTGACCCAGGTCAGTCTTGCAAATGAGATATTATTGAGGATTAAGCATCGCAACTATGGCCCCCTGCTGGAAGACTAATGCCTCAGGCCACTCTTCCAAATGAGACTATCCTGGTCTCTTGAATACTCACCTGGTTAAACAAAATAAACTTCCACTCTGCGGTCCAGCACAGGGATTGGTCGGCTGCCATCTCCTGACCATTGCATGGTTATGTAATGGTCAGGTGATGGCAGTACAGCAAGTGGGATGTTGGCCTATGTGAACTAACTCTTGAGTGGTAATTGCCTCGTATGTGTAGGGTGATTTTTTCTTCTCTCCAGCTAATACAATTTCCTCCCACAAGCAGAACACTTTTGAAGGACTTTGACCAAGCATCCCATCGTAGCAGGACCCTCCTGAAACTTTGATGGGTAACGTTATTATTAGGGGTGGAACGATTCAGCCCAGACCACCGCAGGCAATGTTGAATTGCTTCCCTCAATGTTCATAATTCAATTCAAGAACTTTTGTTTTTTAAGTTGCAGTGAAAAGTAGCGCCCTCAAAGTGGCTGCAGAGGTTACGTGGACCCATTACATGGGACTTAGACGAATGAGAAAGTTCAAATTCGCATGCATACGTAATTCTACACGTGTATCGTGATCCATTGGTGACCGAGGCATTGTTTTTGCGCCACGGTGGTGAGATTTTAACGACCTCGCACGGTGTATAGGATCGATCCTGACCATTGATGCCCGATGCCCGTATATATTTGGAGTTTGCATGTTCTCCCCGCGGTCGCATAGATTTTGCTCCAGGCCCTATGGTTTTTCCCTCTAGATGTATAAACATGCGTTTAGAGTATTTGGCAGCTATACATTTCCACATGATAAGCCACTTCGTTGAGTTATCATATGTGGCCAGGCCGCTTCTGAATATGAGCAGTGTTGGTGGCTCGGTGAGCCTTGCCTGGTAAAATAAAAAATAAGTTTAGTTTTAAAGTGTAGTTTGACCCCAAACCGTAACTGCGAAGAGCTCACGGGAACAGGCGGTGTCTTAGCTTCATGGCGGAACGAGCTGGCTGTGCGCGAGACTAAAGTGCATTCCGCGTGAACTCACGGATCCATGGCGCATGCCTAAAGCCCAGGACGGGCTTAAGGCCAATGACCCCAGGAAGGTCAATGACCCCAGGGCAGATTATAGAAAAATTCGTTCGTGATTTCTCTTCTAAACATAACCCCGAGACCTGGCCATCCACCCACGACTTGTTAAAACAGAACCAA